GGTCAAATATTTGGAATTTTTTATTTTTTTAATGAAGGATTAGACCCATTAAGTTGAGGTCCGTGATTGATCGATACCGCACATCACCATATTTTTATTTTAATAATTGCATATTGTGTTTTTTCTATGAATTATTTTATACTTATTATAACAATTTTTTTTAAAAGATAATATTTTAGAATTTTAATGTAATGAAATTTCATATATCCTAAGATTTTAAGCTTGCAACTAAGAGAAATTTTATATTGCTCGTGGAGAAATTATCATAAAAGAGAGATAGACACAAAATAGAGAGAGAGAGAGATAAAAGAAAGAAAATTAAAAAAAAAATTTGAGCCGAGAGGGAAATTTTCTTATTACTTTTGGTAGATTCATATGTGAATTTTTTTATTTATTTCTCTCTCAAAAAATTGACCCATAGAGTAACTATTGTAAGTATACAATAATTATTCTAGGGTATTTTAAAATTTCTCCATAACTAACAATAACGAGAGAAGAAACAAAGTCAAATGAAAGATATAAGTCATAATAAAGTATAAATATATTCGTCAAAATTAAAAAAAAAAAACAGCTAGTAGCTAATTATTTATATCAAATGAGACAATATGGTGTAGTTCTAATTTTTTTTGAGAGAGCAATTTTTTTTTTCACTTTGAATTGATCAAATATTTAGAATTTTTTTTATTTTTTTACAAAGAATTAAACCCATTAACTAGAGGTTTGTAATTGAATGATAATAATTTAGTTTTTATATTTTTTGAATTGTTTTGATTGATGCATTGTATTTTTTTGAATTATTTTGATTGAGTTTTTCTATCGATGTCTTTCATATGATATGTATCACATATTTAAGAATAGATACGTTATGTCGGCTCACAATTAACAACGTTATAATAGAGAAAAAAATAAAATAAAAACAAGATAAAAGAACTCAATCAATATGAAAAAAAATACAATATTTAAATTAAAATAATATATATACCAACTGCTCATTTGCAGTCTCTCATCATTTAGTAATTATCCGTCGAGTCAAAATTAAATTCATTATCTTGGTACTTTCGATGTTTATTGGGTTTATGATTAATTTGTTCCTATTAATTTTAAATAGTGAAGACCCTTGAGTGATCATTTTCCATTTCTTATATGTAAAGTCTTCATAATTATTAGGATCATTATCTTGTTTACTTCTTTCAAGTTGTATATTCACCTTTTCCTTTGGATCCTTGTAATGGGACGTTGTGAAATGATTAAGATGCTAGCTAGCTATCTAGCGTATTATCTGGTTAACAACTTCCTATGAAAAGCTGAGCAACCTACCAATTTCTTAAGCGAAACTTTAGGTTAGGACAACAATAATAGACAAAGACAAAAATACAAAGAGAGGATTAATTCCTTCCAGGAGGCAAAGAGAATTTTCAATGGTGACACTAATGGAAGATGACAAACCCTTCAAACACTTCTTCTATGACTTACTTATCGTTATCTATTTCTTAATGATTTCAAACACAGTAGTAATTTTAATTGTTTTTCTGGATTAAGCAAATCGAACCAAAAAAAGGCCAATTTTAATAAATAGAAGTACTTCAGATTTCTCTCTCTTTCTTGTTTTTTTCTTTTATTATTTTCCCTGAATTGGAGCAAGTTAATGCACTTATGGTGTATTTGGTCTTGTGAGAATTTAAAGAAGATTTTTCCTTTGAGTACTTCCCATCTATTTTTGGGACTTTATGGCAATAATTAATGCTATTAAATATTGTAAATCAGGGCCAATAAAATTGTTGTAGGTGGTGATTTTGATGTATTGAAAATTTGCAATTGCTTGTAGGTCAAAAGTTGAGTACAATTTGATAGGGTTCCAATTTCAACAAAATACCCATCTATAACGGTAAAAAAAAATAAAAATAAAAATGCCAACCATCTGGCTGTCATTGATTTTACCATCTTTCACTCATTAAATGAATATTATGAAAACGGTCCAACGAAGTAATCTATCTCGAAGAAGGAAGGGAGGTAAGTTGGTGGGGGTGGGGGTACTCATTAGTGTGCAAATTTTGGGTTCAAGATTTGTTATTGCTTTGTATTTCTTTGTATTGTCATATCTATTTCTGTACTTCTAAAATTGATTGACCCTCTAATGTCATTATTTCTATAGTACAATCACTACAAAACGTTTGTAAATCGCATGAAATTTAATAATGCAGATTAATCAATCATGTAATTAAGTATTAAATGTTTTTTTTTTATTTTTTTTAAGATTCAGCAGTAAAGGTATCTTTGGATAAGTTTTTATATACTTCGAAATTAATTTTTCATTAGATGTGATTAAAAGGCATTCTCGATACAAGACCTAAGATATTTTAAAAATAAATTTTTAAAAATGTTGATTATAAAAATTAAACACCCTATCTAATATGTGTAAAATGATGTTTGCTTTCTTTTTTTTTTCTTCTTTTATTATTGGGTTGAAAGAAGGTTTTAAAGTATTAAGATAAGAAGAGCAATTTAGGGAATAAATGAGTGATTAGAAAACAGTGGGGTAATTAGTACGATCAAAATAATAATAATTAGAGAGTCAAAAAAGGGAAAAACGTAAGGAACAACTACTCCACGAGAAAAGTCTCTAAAACTCTCAACAAAGTAGGTGGCGCGAAAACAACATCCCTCTTCTCAACTGAAAAACCGTTTCGCCTCCTTTCTTTTCCTTTCTCTTTCCCTCATTTTTCATTCAAAACCTTCTTTTCTTTTCTTTTCTTTATTGATAGTATATTAATCTCTCCCTCCCTCCCTCTCTCAAAAAAAAATCCAATCACTACACTGCCCTCAACGAAATATTCGCTATCCGATCACCGTTGAAAGTCTCTCCCCTTCGTCTCCGCCGATCCCCTTTAGCCGCCACCTTCTCGTTGCTGTTCAATTTTCGATCTTTCTCCAAATTCCTGGAGTGGTATTAAATGAATTAATTATAACTGATTAATTTCCATAATCGAAGAACGGTTTGATTTATGCCAGTGATTCAAGGTGAGAAATTTTCTCTTACTCTTAATATAATTATATTAAATTTTTACCCTTTTTGCAGTTATGAAAAAATTCGTGTGCGTGTATTTTCTTTTTTCTTTTTGAGATGGTTGAAATTCTGTTTTTAATCAAAATTTTGAGAAATACAAAAAGTTTGTATGATGCAGTGAACTTTGGGAAAATGATTAAGGGAACCTTGTGTGTGTCTTTCTTCTGCCATTTCTGAAATCTAACAGAGAGATTTATACAGTTCTTTTCTTTTTTATCACTGTATTACTTGTCTTCAATACCAGAGACACAAACCTGCCAAAACACAGTCATTATTATGTCAAATAGATTCTTCATTAACTACCCATGTTAATTTTATCGTGACAATTTCAAACTTTTCATTAAATCTTTCTGGGTTTTCATTGATCTGTGTTACTAAATCAGGAAATAAAAATTCACAAGTGGTCAAAACGTAAACAATATAATATAACGAGGTTTTCATATAAGGGAATCAATTCGTTGATTTAGTATAATTTAAAAGGAATTTTTTTTTACTGTGAATTAATAATAACATGAATTAGGGAGATTTAGTAAGTAGTAGTAATTTATGGGGATGGACAATGATCTTGCTTTCACGTGGTCCTCCATGTCTGCTCCCATATCCCCAAGAACATTAGCACCTGCAACTTCAATCTTCTAATTATTAAAATACTTTAAATTATTTGCATAAGAACAAATCACATTATTTCCAATGTTTTTTTTTCTTGTACTTAGTTTTACTACATGAAAAAGTGTAGAAAACCCAGGTTAAAAAAGAACAGTTGAAATTAATTCACTATGTGATCCCAATGTGGTAACTCTTTCTTTCATTAATGCCCATCACATTCTAAATTTGGACAAATATCTATGTCATTTTATTTTTTCACTAGCAACAAGTGAGTTTTATTTCTCATCATTTTATTGATCCAAAAATGTTAAGAATATTTGCGGCGATGGGTGATTATTCTACCGATTTTGAAACCTAATACCCTATGTTTTATTAATGGGAATCACAGTTTGATTACAAGATGGGGTGTTTATGTCCTATGCTAATTTTAGTATAGAGAGTTGTGGTTAAGGATAGAAAGTGGAACAAAATATTTCTTTTTTTTTTTTCCTTTTTTGTTGTTGTTTTTTATTTATGTGTGTAAGCTTTGAACTCACTTTTCTTCATCATGAAAAGGAGTAAAAACAGAGGGAGAAGGAAACAGGGAAGAGTGGGGTAATGTTGTGTTGTTGACTGTACCTCAATTGCCAGCCCAGCCGACCATGGCACTCCCGTGAGAGGGCAAAAGGGCAAATTATTTAAGCGTAAAACAAAGAAAGTAAAAGAGAAATAGAAAAAGAAAAACAAACATTCTTATCCTACGCACCCATTTTTGTACCTCCCCATCGCTGCAGTCCACTCTCCAGTCTCCCCATTTTCATAGGGGACCCCTTAAGCCAAGAGCTAGTTTCATTTCAACCAAAAAAAGTGATGACCGTTAATGCACGTTGTGCCACTCTCCGGATTTTTCTGTGAATACATTTTGGCCCCTGATGGTGTTTTACCATAATCATCGCCTAACCTCTTTGTCATGGCCTGATCTGCTTGGTTTTGGGCTGATTTTGATTAAAATTCAATACCGATTTGCATTTATTTGTTTTCATTCTCAAATTCATAATCTTTCAGATCTGAGTCTCTGTAAAGATGTAAGCTTTTCTCAAATTTTGGGGTTTCCTTTTTCTTTTTTATTGGTTTATATTCTTTGCTTTTTTTCACTGCCATTCTGTAGTATCTTTACTTTTTTCTGGTTATGTGCATTTGTGGCAGATTTATTGCAGGGAAAAGGATCTTCTTTTTGAGCAATCTGTGTGATTCCTTTCAATGTGGAATACATGTAAATGAAAGCTGTCAAATTTGGTTGTTTAATTATGTGAAAGAATCCATCAATGTGGTCTAATTTGGACAGTTTTTGATGGATGTATGTGGATTAGAGAAGCACACAGCAGGACTGGATAAACCAAGACCTCCCTTGGTTCCAGCTGAAAGAAACAGCAATGCAACAGCAGCCGCAGCCACCCGCCGTCCTCGGACGAGGGAAGTTAGTTCTAGGTACAAATCACCCTCTCCATCAACACCTTCTGTTGCTAGGCGTTTCCCATCACCAAGCCTCACTAGATCATTGTCTACACCTTCCCAAGTGGTGCCTAAAAGATCTCAATCGGCCGAGAGGAGGCGCCCTTCAACCCCACCTTCACCCCCGAGCCCCTCCACACCGGTTCAAGATTCATCAGTTGATGTGCAGTTGCCATCTAGAAGGTTAAGTACCGGTGGCAGGTTACAAGAGAGTTTATGGCCTTCTACGATGAGAAGTCTTAGTGTTTCATTTCAATCGGATAGTATTTCTATTCCTATCAGTAAGAAGGAAAAACCAGTTAATAATGTCTCCTCGGATCGCACATTGAGGCCTTCTTCAAATGTAGTCCATAAGCAGGTTGAAACGCCTACTGGGTCACGGAAGCCTACACCAGAGAGAAAGAGGAGTCCTCTTGAAGGGAAGAATTCGCAGGATCAATCAGAGAACGCTAAACCAGTAGATGGTTTACATTCTAGATTGATTGATCAGCATCGATGGCCTAGTAGGATAGGTGGGAGGGTATCTTCTAATTCATCATTGAAAAGAAGTGTGGATCTAACTGATAAGAGTGTGAAGTCCTTGTCAACTCCTGTTGGAATTGGATTATCTTCACTCAGGAGAACGCCCACACCTGATAGTGTAGTAAAACCTTTACAAAAATCTGCTAGTGATACTGCTAGGCTATCACTAGAAGAAATTGGCAGAGTAGCGTCTGAGGTGAATTCGGTTGGTGATAAATTGCAGCGGGTATCTGGGGCTCAGAAGCTTGTTGCGTCAACTTTATCAGATAGAGTATCATTAGTAACTCCTGCGGTTAGATCTCAGTCCTTGCCAACTACTGGATCGCGTCCTGCATCACCAAGTAGGACTTCAATCAGTAGAGGTGTAAGTCCAGCTCGGTCAAGACCGTCTACTCCTCCTAGAGGGGTCAGCCCATCTCGGATAAGGTCATCAAGTGTCTCCAGTCAATCCAATAATTCTACTTCAGTGCTTAGTTTTATAGCGGATTTTAAAAAGGGGAAAAAGGGTGCATGCTATATCGAAGATGCTCATCAGATACGACTGCTATACAATAGATATTTGCAGTGGCGATTTGCTAATGCCCGGGCAGAAGCTGTTCTTTACATCAAGAAAGCGACTGCAGAGGTAGGAATCGAACGTTTACCAACTTCCCTGGAACGCAGGCCTCCTGAATCTCCCATATATCTTAATTTTTTTGTTAATTGCTTGGAACTTTTGATGGCATCTTTCATATGGGTCTTCTTTCATTAAATTATATTCTAGTCATATGGTGCCTTTAATCATTATTCTAGGTAATAGTTTCTCAATTTCAGTCCTTTTTAGCAGTCTACAACTATTAGATTTCTTTTTATTATGAAACACAGAAAGTTATATGCTTGTTTGGAGTAATGCAAAAAAAAAAAAAAAAAAAAAAAGGAAAAGAGAGAGGTTGTTGGCAAAGAAAATATATGGCAGGTTGTTAAAATGCAACACTATTTATGATTTGATGGAACTTTTATGTTTCGGTGATTTTTCATTGAAGAGAGCATGCTTCAACTATTGTTCTTAACATTGATGCTGAAAGAGAATTTTCTTTCCTTTGGTGTTTTAAATTTTTAAAACATGCTGTTATCGTGCAGAGAACTTTATACAACGTTTGGGACACCACTTTAGCGTTGTGGGATTTGGTTATCAGGAAGAGGATCAATCTCCAACAGCTGAAATTGGAGCTCAAAATGAATGCAGTATTGATTGATCAAGTAATGCATCTCTTTATCATGATATTACTGTTTTACTATTTCACAACATGATATAATTGTTTCTATTCATCTACTGAGTGGTTTTCTCTGTCAATATGTTGTAGGTTGTAGTTCTTAATGGTAAATGATGTGTGTTTTAGACCAATTTATTTCGTTCTGATCCTTAATTCTCATTAATTTAATTTAAAATTATATGAATAGAAGTTACAACTATTTCGTCTTGAGGCGAATAAGGGAAAAAGAACATTTTTTAAATCTGTAATTGTAATGGTCTGCAACATGGGATCCAGTGTCTGTCTGCTGATTGTCGATAAGCACAGTTTCCTTAAAGTACCTAACAAGTTGGGACTATGTCAAGTGTTTGTGAGAAAGATGAGTTTTAGTCCTATCTAAATGATTCATGCTATCCAGCTTCAACTTAGATTGGAATTGCTTAAGGTCCTTGGAACACATAGGGTGAGCAAATTTTGGGGTCTAAGCACCCACCATCACCACTTATTGTCTACGGAAATGGAAGTGTGGGGGGCATCTAATCCATCCTGTACAAAATATGCCTATATGCGTCTGGGAGATCTTGAATTACATGGGCAGATCTAAGGTTAACTGTTGATGAATGAGGGAACTTTGAAGAACAGTGTTTTGAAGTTGTATGTAATCACTTGGCAATTTTATTGCCATTTAAATGTGGATTTCTGATATTTTTGGTGGGGGCAGGAAGGTGTTGGTTTGAAACAGAAGAAATGTGAATTGGTATCCCTGTTTTTCCTTAAAATTAGTTTCATGGGATTTGATATGAATACAATAATCCGTTTGTTCTCTGAGGTGAACACCACCATGCTTCTGTTTTATGCTTGTGTAGCACCCGAGTATGGTGAAGTAGGAGTGTACACTTAGAGTATTTGAAATCTTGAAGAGTAGTAATGTCTGACTTGAAACCTACATCTCTTTTTAATCAGAAGATTCTTGTGCTTTAGGCATGTATTGGAAAAAAAAAAGTTCCAGCATAAGGAGCAACCCATGAAATGGAAGGGCTGCTGGACTGGACTGGCAATCGGTCTTTTCCAATATCTTAAAACCCATAGTTGGATAGGATGTGGAGGGGAAAGAGAAGAGTAGAAGTTCATAGAAGGAAAAATATTACGAGTTCATATAGAATGGTTGCCCCAAATACTTAGTTATTCAGTTGCATCAATTGATAGTTGGATAGGATTTGATATGAATACGATAATCCGTTTGTTCTCTGAGGTGAACACCACCATGCTTCTGTTTTATGCTTGTGTAGCACCCGAGTATGGTGAAGTAGGAGTGTACGCTTAGAATATTTGAAATCTTGAAGAGAGTAATGTGTGACTTGAAATCTACATCTCTTTTTAATCAGAAGATTCTTGTGCTTTAGGCATATATTGGGAAAAAAAAAAAGTTCCAGCATAAGGAGCAACCCATGAAATGGAAGGGCTGCTGGACTGGACTGGCGATCGATCTTTTCCAATATCTTAAAACCCATAGTTGGATAGGATTTGGAGGGGAAAGAGAAGAGTAGAAGTTCATAGAAGGAAAAATGTTATGAGTCCATATAGAATGGATGCCCCAAATACTTAGTTATTCAGTTGCATCAATTGATAGTATAATTGAGTGATTAGCTGGTATTAGCAACAAGATCTCTCTCTTTCTATGGTAAAATTAAAGCACGAGGAAGAAGAAAAAAGATACGAGCAATCCATTTCATTTCTTCATTTTATGTGGCTTATATGAACTGGTAGCTCATTAAACAGAACGGAAGCATTTATGAGAAGGCAGTTGTTAGCTTCAACTCAGGATAAGATGGATTGAAGTTACTTAAGATATCAGGCTGCGTGATTCAGAGGCCAACACCAGTAGCTGTACGGAGAGGATAGATTCTGGTGAGAGCTTGTAACAAATTAGCAAAGAACAAAGGTAATATAACTTGGTTGTGGCAGCAACAAACAAGATAGCCTTGATCTTAATGAGCACGAGCATTGAGAAGTTGATAAAACTGCAAGAGATTTGGTTATTTTTGGCATTGCTGCAGCATTGTTTAACTTCCAGCATCTTGTTTCTGGATCAAATCTGGCTCTAAATATGATGTGGGGAAGAAGTTTGATTTCACACTAATGGGGAACTTTAGCTTATGGTATGCTAAAAACTCAAGCACTTATTGTTTGTTCCTCATCTGAAAAATTCACTATGTACGTGACAGTCATTTGACAAAATGTGGTTGCTTTTCAATTTTTTAATAGATCAAATAGGGTCGTAAGCTGGTTTAAAATCCAGCTTATCAGAAAAAGTTCTCACGGCATCTTAGCTCTGCTGTTATAGGATCAAGTTGATGTTGAATAAAACTAGCTTGGTTTCCTGTTATATGCTTAAGTCTATAGATGTAGAGATTTACAAACAATCATGCCTTTTTAGGAAGAAATATTTTCATGTGAAAACGATATCATGCTGAGGCTTCTGGTCAGAGCCAACTTCAAGCATCTTGGTGGTCTATTTCTATAGCGAAATTTATTTGACCATTTGTTCAAACTCTTTATGCATGTATCATTTCCTAAACTAGTTTGGAACTGAGGTTTAGTCTTTCTGAGTAAAATCCAATTGAGTTACCCCACTATCTAATTGCAATGTCAATTGATTCAGATTGCCTGTCTTGATGATTGGGCTTTACTTGAAAAAGATCATATTAATTCTTTATCTGGGGCTGTGGAAGATCTGGAGGCAAGCACTCTTCGTCTTCCAGTGACTGGTGGGGCGAAGGTATGTTTTGTTTTAAAAGATAATGGGAAGTGATTTCTGGAGAGAGAAATTATTGACATTGACATCAATATTGGGATTGTACTTTTTCAGACAGATATAGAATCTTTGAAGGTTGCTATTTGCTCAGCTGTTGATGTGGTGCAGGCAATGGGATCTTCCATATGTTCTTTACTTCCAAGAGTGAGATACATGTCTTAGCTATCCCTCTTTCAATTTTGTTAATTCGTGCATAAAGCATGATGATGAGGTTTTTTTCCTTCTTAGTTGTCATTTGAGCTGTGTGTTCATTTTACCATTATATGTACTATGCATTGTCTACCCATAATGCAATTAGTACCCAAGTGATGATTTAAGTGGATAACTAGGGAAAAGATCACTGGAAATAGATTGGCAAATTGATTTTTTATTTTTATTTTTATTTTTTTATGGACCATGCCCGTCTTGTTAAAGATCCCATTATGACTAGGACATCACTCCGATGAAGTGCAAAATTAACTCTTATCAATTCTTTTGTAGATTCCTCTGCATTTAATTAACTATTTAAATTTTGAATTTAATTGAACTCCTTTTTAGGCTATACTTCTCAATTTCCAATGCTCAAACTGCATACTGTTGTTGCCAAAATTATTTGCAGATCTAATGCTTATTTGCGGATCTTTTACAATATTTTTGTGTTATAGGTGGAGGAGATAAATGCTTTGGTATCTGAGCTCGCCATTGTTGCAGCACAAGAGAAAGCCAAGCTTGATCAATGTGAATCTTTATTGGCGTCAACAACAGCTATGCAGGTGAGAACAAAAATGCCTGGCTGTAATGCTTAAGTTTCTGTAGGGAAAAAATAATGCTAAATTTAGTCCTTTTATGCACTAAATTAACAAGTTTCTATGTTGATAAGATAAAGTACTTCCAGTAGTGTGAATCAGGATTGCTAAATCACAATCAATTGTAGGATTGTAATATTTTCGATTCTTGCATTTGGATTTTTTTGGACGTCAAAGAAACACAATTAGGAAAATTTGCAGATATAAGTAGTTAGCTGAATTGCTTCTTAAGAATACCTTCTTTCCATATATGTTTTTCTTCTTTCTATACTCTTCATCAGATTCTGTATTTATGTTGTCTTTTAGTCAGTCTATCATCTACTCTTGGATTATGCCATCATTACTTTCTTGCTATGTCATTCTTTTTCAGAGCATGAACTTTTTTCTTCTTGTAGGGGAAATGAATTTAGTCGAGTTCATAATTGCCTGTGTGCTAACCATATATAGGATTGATAAATTTCTTTCATGTTCTGGCTGTGACATGGCCACTCAACATGCTCTAACATGTTTGCTGCGTGGTGGGGGTGGTTAGGTCTGGATTTGAGTCTTGCACTTGCAAACGCAGAACAAAATCCTTGTCAGTCTATTGATTGTTGTACTAATACTTGTCCTAACAGAACTTGTTCATGTAGCATCATCCTATTTGAGCTTTTTAACATTTCATTTATTTCATATGGTTGAGGAATGGCAGTGCTACCTGGTTAGATATTCAAGTTGTTGGGATCAATCAATACCGAATTTCAATTACTTCGTTCTCTCTCTCATGTGGCCAATAGTCCTTTATCTTTGGCAATTCCATTATTATACATGTGGACATTCTGGTCTGTCCTCTATCAGATTGGCTGGCCTAGATCAGTCCATCATTACTGGCATAGCTTGAAAGGATGTTCTTGCAAGAAAAGTTGTAGTTTTGTCTGTGGGCATGCATGTAGCTGGGGTCCTTGCTTACATACTTGCAACACCTGTGGAATAAAGTTAAAACTCATTCACTTTGTCTGGCTTACTTACTTGTCATGCACATTTTTTAGGGTTTTTTTTTTTTAATATATTTTTATTATGTCCATGCATATATTGGATTATATCTAATTGTTTTCGTCATCAAGCAGGTAGAGGAGTACAGCATTAGGACTCATCATATACAAATGAAAGAAGCTCTGGAGAAGCAACAACTACCCTTCATGGCAATGAAAACACCTTCATGGCCCTGATCAACTACTAAGCTAACTTTTTTTCCACTCTGCAGAGATAAAATTACAGAGTCTTCTCTGATCAAATGTAAATTGATGTTTTTTTTTTAACCTTAACTTCAGTGGGAAAGTTTATTTTTATTTATTCTTTTTCTCCTTTTTTGTTTTCAGTAGTGAGCCTTGGGCTCCCTCTTTTCTTGTAATTTTTTGTATCAAGGGAATGGAAAGAAGATGAAAAGGAAGCAAAGGATTGAAAATTCAATTTAGAAGCAGATTTCAGAGCAGTATATATATATATATATATATATATAAAAGGAAGTGAAGTTCCATATTCTGGTTTCCCTGTATACATGGCATATAAAACCAAACAAAAAAAAAAAAAAAACTTAAAATTACACTGAAATTCAGAATATTTGTGTTTTGAGCTCGGTGTGCTATATTAGTTAAATCATTGAATTTGATTAAAACAATTAAAAGAACTATGAAATTCAGATCTAATTGTCTAAAGGATATGGATATTTGGCCATGTTGTTGGTGTTTGTGGATTTGTACAGTTGACTGTAAATGGAACAAATCAAGAAGTCTATTTTGGATCCACAAAAGACATGTCGAAAGGCCATTACTCCATGAAAACAACTTCGTCTTTCAAACATTGAATGATAGGTCGTTCACACAAGAAAGAAGCCTACTTGCCGTTTACCTGCTACGTATGACAAACGTCATTTCGTTTCCTCGCTACAGTCGTTTCGGACCCTCTCTCTCTCTCTCTCTCTCTGCTGTTTTCCCGCCGTTTTTATCCCAGAACAATGAAAACCCCCTCAGATACACAGAAACCAAACTGTCCGAAATACTAAAATTCTTAACTTCTCCCAAAAAAACAAAACAGATGTCTCTTCCAAAAACCATAATAACATCACCATCAGCAGCAAAATCTTACTACATACCTCGTACCCGCGATTTCTTTCTCAATCTCCTTAAAAAAGCTATCACTCTTTCTCACTTAATCCAACTCCAAGCCCAGCTAATCCACCACAACCGCCTCCAAAACGACATTTCAATCACCACAAAACTCACCCACAAATTCTTCGACTTCAATGCCACGGGCCACGCAACTGCCCTCTTCTTCTCCGTTAAGAAACCGGACCTTTTCCTCTTTAACGTTCTCATTAAAGGCTTCTCCACCAATAACAAGCCTTTGTCGGCGATTTCGCTGTTTACCCATTTGAGAAAAAGCACTCGTTTAAAGCCCGATGATTATAGTTATGCTTTCGTTATATCGGCAGCGGCGAGCCTTGAAGATGCTAGAATTGGTGGGATATTGCATGGGAAGGCAGTAATTGATGGGTTTGGTTTTGATTTGTTTGTTGGGTCTGCTCTTGTTGACCTCTACTTTAAAATTTGGCGGGAAAATTTAGCTATTAAGGTGTTTGATAGATTGGCTCAAAGAGATACTGTTTTGTTTAATACGATGATATCTGGGTTTGTTAAAAATTCTTATTTCGAGGATTCAGTTAGAGTTTTTGGAGATATGGTTTTGGGTAATGGGCCCAAGTTTGATTTAACTACGGTTATAGCTGTTTTACCTGCTGTGGCTGAGTTACAAGAGTTGAAATTTGGCACGCAGATTCAGTGTGTTGCGATAAAGTGTGGGTTTCATTCTCATGTGTCTTTGCTTACGGGCTTGATTTCGTTGTTCTCAAAATGTGGGGATGTTGAGACTGCGAGGTTGTTGTTTAGGGAGATTGGTAAGAAAGATTTGATATCTTGTAATGCAATGATTTCTGGGTTTACTTGCAATGGCAAGACTGAGGATTCGGTGAGGTTGTTTAAAGAACTGCTTGGTTCTGGAGAGAGAATTAGTTCGAGTACTATTGTGGGGTTGATTCCTGTGTATTCTCCTTTTGGTCATTCATATCTTAATTATTGTATCCATGGTTTTTGTGTGAAACTTGGTATTGTTTCGCATTCTTCTGTTTCAACTGCATTGACTACTGTTTATTGTAGATTAAATGAAATGGAATTGGCAAGGCAACTTTTTGATGAATCAGCAGAGAAGACTTTAGCTTCTTGGAATGCAATGATCTCGGGTTATACCCAAAATGGTTTAACAGAGACAGCAATCTCCCTTTTTCAGACAATGCAAAAGAATAATGTCAATCCAAATCCAATTACTGTTACCAGCATTCTTTCCGCTTGTGCTCAACTTGGAACCTTAAGTATTGGAAAATGGGTACACAGTTTAATTAAGAGCAGGAGTTTTGAGTCCAATGTCTACGTTTCAACTGCTCTAATTGACATGTATGCAAAGTGTGGGAGCATTGTAGAAGCTAGGGAATTATTTAATCTGATGCCCGAGAGGAATGAGGTGACTTGGAACGCCATGATTTCTGGCTACGGCCTTCATGGGCATGGACAGGAAGCACTAAAGCTCTTTTATGAGATGTTGTCTTCTTCTGTTAAACCCACTGGGGTCACTTTTCTCTCTGCATTGTATGCTTGCAGTCATGCTGGGTTAGTGAAAGAAGGAGATGAAATTTTTCATGCTATGGTTCATGACTTTGGCTTTGAACCATTAGCTGAGCATTATGCATGCATGGTTGATATCCTTGGACGAGCTGGACAATTGGAAAAGGCTTTGAAATTCATGAAGGCAATGCCAGTTGAGCCTGGTCCTCCTGTGTGGGGTGCATTGCTTGGAGCTTGTATGATCCACAAGGACACAAACCTAGCTCGCATAGCTTCTGATAAGTTATTTGAATTGGACCCAGAAAATATGGGATACTATGTCTTAATGTCGAATCTCTATTCAGTCGAGAGGAAATATCCACAAGCTGCTTCACTGAGACAAGTAGCTAAGAAGAAAAGGCTAGCAAAGATTCCAGGCTGTACGTTAATTGAGATTGGTCAGGTCCCAAATGTCTTCACATCTGGTGACCAGTCCCATCCACTATCAACGGCAATCTATTTAGAGCTAGATAAATTGACAGGAAAGATGAAAGAGGCAGGATTCCAGACAGAGACTGCCACTGTTCTGCATGACCTGGAGGAGGAAGAAAAGGAATTAACAATGAAGGTTCACAGTGAGAAGTTAGCCATTGCCTATGGCCTTATCTCTACTGAACCTGGAACTGAAATTAGGATTATCAAGAATCTCCGTGTTTGTTTAGACTGTCATACTTGGACTAAGTTCTTGTCAAAGATCACAAAGAGAGTTATTGTGGTAAGGGATGCCAATAGATTCCATCACTTCAAAGATGGAGTCTGTTCATGTGGAGACTATTGGTGAAAATAGATGTTCTGCTGCAATCTTTCAAGCCTTTTCAGGATAGCCGATATTTTTTTGGTATGTAAATGCGTTTCGTGTTGAGATACGAAAGATTAAACAGAATAACAGTTTAATCAATGTGGTTCACTGGGTTGCTCTTATAAACTTATCCTTTGTTTCTAGGTGATCATAGGAAATTTTTTTAACAAATTTATGCGTTGCATTTTAGTGGAAAAGGAAATTTTGTTTCGAATAAGCTCAGTGACCTATTTCATGCATTGTTTTTCCTCCATGTGCTTTGTGTATATATCAACATATTTCTCCACTGCTTTTCTGGATGCTGTTTACATTATCTGAAACTGGAACACAAAGATTGTTTATTATTTCCCTCAGTTGTCTGATAATCTAGTTTTTATTGAAGGGTTTGGACAAGAGCCAATTGGAAGTTCTTTTGGAGATCATGACATCCTTTTCTGAACATACAATGATGGGTAACAGCGGAGGCTTGCATCATGGCTATTCTCAAAAGAGAATAGAAAGTGTCATTCTTCTGACAACAACCTCAAGGTAAAGTGTATAAGCCTCAAATCTTCACTGACCTTAAGAACTTTCATACATTACCTTCTTTTCCATTATTTCCCTCATATAATTCACCTTCTCTTCCCAGAGATTGGCATAACATATACCAACTATGTTTGGTGTGTGCTTTTGTGACCCCATTGGTTATTTAAGGAACAAGCAGAAATTGACTATGGTATAAACAGGTAACAGCATGTTCCAGCATAGGATCCTTAATCAATAAAGGATTGTAAGTTGAGTTCTTCTAGTGAAGGATTAAGAGCATCAGGCTTGCTTTGACATCCATGTCCAAGCACTTCGACGTTTCTTGATTGAAAGGGAATGAACTTTTCGAACATTTTAGATGAATTTGCAATCTAAGCCACCATTGTTACATAGCATGCTGTATGACTTATGAGAGAAATTTATTTAGTGACCCAGGATGACTTGTGAGACTTACAAAGATTAAAATTCTTGGTGTTTTGAGATAGGTGCACTGTGTAGAATTTTTGCAATCCAAGTTGTATAAAGCAGAATTATGCACTCCTTTGGGCTGTTAGTGTGAGAACGTGATACGGAAAATATGTTTCATTTCAATTACAAAACTGGGTTCAATGCACTTTGCTATACAAAATTTTCACTCTAACTTTATTCGTTGTGCATCTCCATTTTGTTGGTTTATACATCACATATCGTATTGCCGTAGAAGCAAGATGTACACTTATATTCTAGAGATGCACAAATCAACTAGAAAACAAACACACATTTAACAGTTGATTCCACATAGCTTGGTGTCAGGTCCCTTGGTTTTCATCACAAATGGATCGATTCGGACCCAAAGCAAGGAGAAGATGGAAGCCAAGAGCACTGACCATATAACAACAATAGTCGGTGTCCTGTTTTGTCTCCCCATTAGACCTTTGAGGAATGGGTAGAGATGGACAATCACCCAGAAGGCAAAGAAGAGCTTCCCGAATAGAGGTCCCCATGACTGGTACCCATTGTTTATGGCATCTGAGACTCCAGCAACAACTCCAACAAGGTTGATGATTAAGATAGTGGTTGGAGGGATAAGCAGGGTTGTCCATTTGAAGGCGTATAGTTCTCCAAAATCATCATCGTCTGATGCCTTGGATGTGACAGTGAAGTTTGTGTCGATACCAGCTAAAACTTTCAGAAGACCTTGGACAACAGCAAAGAGATGAGCTGATACACCACCTATAACCCAGAATTGCTCATTTCTCCACCATTCCTCAATGCTTACTCCGCTCCATCTTAACTCAAGAATACCCGTTGAAAAGATTGACAAAAACAAGCCAATGAAGAAAAGACTTGCAAAGGTGCTTATCTGGATCATAAACAAATTGAGAACTGGTTACCATATTGTTATAAATGAACAAAATCATGTTCTCGTGTTAACATAGCATTTGAAAACATCTTATTGTATCTTCATTGAGTTCAATTCCAGTCACGTTTCTAGAATATTTTTGCCTTTTAAAGCTCTGCACCCAGCTATTTTATTTTCCAGTATGTTTCCATGGAAGAAATAACAATTGTATCATTACCTCTGGCATGATGAATTTATCAGTCAGCAGGCAGATGGCGGGGAGGCAACAGTAGGCAACAAGTGCTAAGGAGGTGAAGGGGTAGATTGTTGTGTTCACATATGCAAACCTCTCGAGCCACTTGAGCTTTCCTTCCTTGTAGCCATACCACATCGGGCTGTGACGACTGAAGAAAATCTCAACAGAACCTAGAGCCCATCGGAGCACTTGGTTGAGCCGATCTGATAGATTGATGGGAGCTGAACCCTTAAATGCGGCCAACTTTGGCATACAGTAAATAGACCTCCAGCCACGGCAATGCATCTTAAAACCTGTCAGAATATCCTCTGTGATTGAACCGTAAATCCAGCCCAGCTGCACAGGAAAAGGAAAATTTCTTCAATGCAGGAACTTCTAAGCAACAAGCAGAGCATCTTTTTAGCCTCAATTGCTCAACGCATTGCAGAGATATAGAACTTATGCTGTTTATATTACCTCGAGTCCCCATTCAGTTTTGTCTTCATACCCACAACTGATCACGTGGATGGCTTCTTTTAGCAGAGCTGCTGGACTCGAGGAGGGAGGTATGCCACCTTCTTCCATTAAAGTTGAAGTCACAAAAATTGCTGACTGTCCAAACTTCTTTTCAAAATTCATTTGGGACATCAATAACTCCTTGTCGTTGTCCATTCCTGTCCAACATGCCTTACACATTAGGATGGGGGAACGAAAAGAAGATTTGTGGGGAAATCAGTATGAAAAGATTGTTATCGAGGTAAAGATCTTTGAAAACCTTGCAGGCTTGTGCCTTCTCCAACTGCACCATTCTTAGCATTCTTCTTTTTGCGACGTCCAAAACAAGGGCAGCAGTCACAGGTCACCATCTTTGGGCGCTTGGGACCTTTTGGAGGGTCATAGCCGTACAGAGCTTGCCTTTTGAAAACACATCCTGTGCCGACATACACCGGACCCTGAATTCCATCTAGACCTTTCATATTAATCTGCAGGTAACACAGAAACAAAACATCATCTATCTCGCATTCCAAGTGTACAGTTTATGAGAACATACACAAGCACGGGGCTTTTTTAATCCAGGATTTACATCAAAGAAAACAGTATTCCTGTTGGCGTAACGATCATGTCTATCAATGCCATCGAATCTTTGAGGAAATTGTACGTAACAGATTTTCTTTCCAATCTGGGGGTCCATCAAGAAACACATAGCCTCACGGACGGCCTTGCTATTGTTGATATAATGGTCACAATCCAAGTTCAGCATGAAAGGAGCATTGGTAAGTACTGCAGAGACCCGAATCTGAAAATTGCAAGAAGTCAGAGGCATCACATAAAGCAGACCTCGTTAATGTGAGAGAACTTGATGCATGTAAGATAAACGATTTTTCTTCAAGCTTATTTACCAGGGCATTCATGGCACCGGCTTTCTTATGATGTGAAAAACCAGGCCTCTTCTCTCGAGACACGTATACAAGGCGAGGGAGCTCATTTCCTTCAACGTCATGCCCTCCACTGTGACCAAGGAATACTTGAATCATACCAGGGTGATCCCTGGTATTGTTTCCAGGCCATGGTGTCCCATCTTGCATAATCCACCCCTCTGTAGGAACCTTCTGTGCTTTTGCTACGATTGCATTTATCCTAACCTTGAATTCTTCATATTCTCTCTGTCAAGGACCAAATATCATAGAATCTTAGCTAATATAGCTTGCTAGTACTTCAAAAATGATTGAAAAATTCTTTAGAGTTCTACACTAACTACAAACCTTCATGGCTCGACGTTCCTTGACAAAGGTAGGCTGAACTTTGTCCTTTAGATAATCAACCTTTAGAGCGAAGTAAAACTCTGGGGCTCGAGGTTCTATGCTATATTTCTTGCAGAATGGCACCCATTTTCGAGCAAATTCAGCTGTTTCAGACATGGCTTCGAAGGTGCACATGGAAGCACCATCATCAGAGAGGTAGCATGAGATTTTTTCAACTGGGTAGTCCATAGCCAAGATTGATAAAATTGTGTTTCCCGTAACAATAGGGGGTTCTTTCATAGGATCCACAGTACTGACAAAGATATCCACCGGAGCAAGCATGTTTGGCTCGCCTTCCCGTTCATACCTGCATTGCAAAAGTTATCAGCGGTTTATTTTTAAAACCTGCTTTTAGCAGTAGTAATCACTGGAGTCTATTTTCAACTGCACAATTCGTCCTCGAAGCTCTTTCCAAACATATAAATCTTGGAAATTCTAGTTATGTGCTAGTTCGAAAATTTCTATGAACCTGAGAGAAAGGCGATCCAGATAAGTCTCACGATCAATTGGCAACCACTTCGGGAACTGATCGAGGATCCATGAAATTGCAAACCAGATTTCGCAGACTATAGACGTCAGCCAGAGCCCAATTGCATCATGCACTGGATGCATAATTCGATAGCGAAGAAAGAAGGCCAGTATGATCAGCCTAGCAACAATAACCATTCTATATGGATTGATCTTGCTGGATGCAATTGGTACTTTCCTGGAGAGTGGCTGTCTTGCCTCATCTAACCTGCAATAATTGTTTACAACATATGAATGTCGACTGATGATTTCGGTTGAAGGCTAAGTCATAGTTGCAAAAAGATGGCAACATTGTCTAGGTACAGAAACTGGATACGTACATGGCTGCTTCTGCATCGTCATCTTGTTCGAGGCCTAGGTTTCCTTGCTGCATTTTCCAATCATCCATCCTCTCTTTCCACCCTCCCTCTTTCTTTTCATCCCATCTTGCGCTTCCTGTTTCGTGCAAATCATATAAGATCAATCATAATAACGTTTCAGTTAATCATTTCAATCAATGCTTGTGATAAGTACATACCAGGTTCAGAAACTGGATATGGGTGCACTCTCTTGTGAAGTGAAGAAGATAGCATCTGCTCTCCATGAGATCCAATAGGAAATTCTCCACTCACCTGCTCAGATGTTTAAGCATTTTTATAATCTCCACTAAAAAATTCTGAGACAAATCCATCGAAATGGAATCAAAGCAGAAGAGCAGCATCACTTACAGGTCTTGATCTAATGCCCGTTATAACTGGTGGGAATTGGCTATTTTCTTCATCATCATGGCCTCTCCCATAAGTCATCTTCCCATGAAGCATAGCCTCAGTGATATGCTTATTCTTGTCTTGTTCATCTTCAATGATGAACTCATGTTCAATATCATCCAAATCATCCTCATCATCATCTCCCTCAACCCTTGGACTCCCTACACATTTTTTCAAAGAAAATCAGCCTAAAAATTTCATGCCAAAACGACAAAATCCTAGCTTTGGGCTGTATATTTTACCTTTGAGACGCTTGTATCTAGTTCTGCACTGAGGACAGTTTTGAGTCCCTTCTCTTCTTTCATACTCATAGCATGGTCTACACACAGGAAAACCACACTCATTACAAGCCACAAACAAATCACCATCCACAGTTAGGCCAATCTCATCACCACATATCTCGCAAACTTGGCCATCCAAGTTCTTCAAAGGTTTAGGCTGCACCAAAACAAAAACACAAACAAAGAACGATATGTCACTTCATGCATGCTTTCTTTTTGCTGGTTCCTGTTCAAGGTTTGTTTTGTAATTAGTACTTGTTACCTCTTCGTGGCCATGAATGACGACAAGCTCGTTCCGGTTGTGAGAGCCAGCTACAAGTCCAGCACTGGCTTCCATGTCGAACAATGTAAGAGAGCAACTGGTTTGAGAGGGAGTGCGTGTTTCTTTTTTATGAATGGAAGGGTAGGGTATAGAGAGTTGTGCTGGATCTCTTGCTCTCACCTAATGTGGCCATGTAAGGGTGGTGGCGTGGAAGTTGGTTGCAGAGTCGCCATTGCCTTGAAGTTAAGCTTCGTCTATTTTTCAACTACCATTGCCCTTCTCCCGTGCCTTCTTTTCAACGACTAACTTGGTGTCAGTTTTGTATCTCTAGTTTTTGTATATCATTTCTTCATAATTTATTTGAATTCTTTTGGATTTTTGAAAAATAATTTGGAAAATAAAGTAAATTTTACACTACTACTAATTAATAGCTCTCTCTTTAACTAATTCGTATCTCTCAAAGTCAGTAAAGAATGGCATACTTAATCTTGACATGGATGTGCTCTCTCTTAGATTCACCAACAAACTAGAACCACTTTCTGTCTTTTTTTTATTATATTCAACAGTAAGAGTATTTTTAGATCTATAGTTTTAAATAATCGTTCCTTGTGTTATTTAACAAAATCAAATATGTATGTGTTTGTTATACGATGTTATAAAAAATTTAATGGAATTTTATTCAAATAACAACAATAACGGCCTTATATAATGAGTATAGACTATTATTGTCGTTATTCAATGAATAACAACTAATGCTTTCACGATATCGATTGTCGTAATAGCTATTTTACTATAGCTATAAGTCATGAATCGCGATCGTGATTGCGTAAAAGTTTTTACAACTGCATCCGTAATTTAAAATTATTTCTACGTTAGTTTATACATTAACCGAGGATAAGTTTTTTTTTTCGAACAATTTTAAAAACTCAGCTCCATGTCGATTTGGTGCATTCTGAAATGTTTAATAAATGATACTGAAAAGCCTTTTTCTATAAAAAAAAATTGTTAACTAATTAACTTCTTTACAGTAGAAGAGGGATTTGGATACGGATTACGGACTCAAATGTTATTCTTAGTACAAAACAGAAAAGAAAAAAGGCAGATTAAGAAGAAAAAGAGGGCAACTCAAGACAATTTATAATTGGATTGACATTTGCATATAGTAGAGTTGTAATTTTTCAAGTGAAGATCACTTGGTGATTGAATTGGTTTTGTGCAGTTAGACAGCTGAAGTAAACCGAAGACAAGTTCATGGTAAACACTGAAACAATCCAATGTCTGCTACATTTTTTTTTCCTATTTTGCTTGTGTTAATTATTTGGTAATAATGTATGCACAATCGAAACTTTCATCGTTTATATTGCTCAAAATATTTGTAATCATGGCTCTTCCAAGTAATTACCGAAGGATTTTTAATAATGGCGATAAAAGTTATTCATTCTTTAGACTCAAATATCATTGTCTTTTGACTCATGCTATTATCATGAAATGTCCTTTCCGAATTTGATTTCCACATGATATCAAACATTTGATGGTTGGTATTATGTGAAACCCATCAATCTAGCTCATTCCATCAACTTCTGATATTTTGCTAATGAATTCAAGAAGAAGATTTCAGGATGGACCATGTTACTCTTCTCCTTTTTCCTTTTTCGGATGTTTTCTTTTATCAAATGAAATTAGTTATTTATTTATTTATGGCATGAGGTGAATAGCACAAAACCACATAGAATTGTTTGTTAAATCACAAAAAAGAATTTGTTTTCCCTGTAGGACAAGCTACTTCCACCTTTTCACTTTCTCGTCATCGAGGAATTACTAGTTAAGAATCCAATATACCTACTGGCAGACATGCCTGCCAATCATCAAAGAAATCAGTATATAATTCGGAGAATACATAGCTGAGGCCCTACGATCTGCCAACCGGTGATGCTTGGTATAGTTTAAATCTGTCTCTTTCTAAACTTGAGCTGCCCGTTAACTGTGAACGCAATCTGAAAAACATGTGAACGAGCATGCTTAAAATGCAAGAACTTCAAACCTAAGTCATGTTCCAATCGGTAGTTGGGTATGTTGGAGCTTCTCCATCCAGACAGAGTAGCCTCTCCTACTTATATACCAGAATTCTATTTAGGAAAACTTACTACAAGCATGACATTTATCGAACCGGTCCTTTCGTTTTCGTTTTCCACTGTTCCTGATTTGTATCGGCAGTTTGGGACTGCGGAGTACTGTGTTTTTTTTTTTTCAAGCTCTTTTATGTCCATTTAAGAGAGATTGAAAACTAGACGCTAGAAAGTAAAGTACCCATGTTCGACTCCTCCCTCTTACTAAATTTTATATCCTGCTTGAAGCTTTCCTCCCACCTGTCGACTCGAAAAAGGAAGCTTTTCCTCTTGGTAGGGCCAGCCCAAAGGTGAAAGGGCTACCCTTTTTTGGGCAAGTTTCACTGATCAAGACTTCCTATATAAAGACAACGTCTAAAATTTGTTGAGCCCAATTACTGAGCTGGTCATTTTACAGGACCCTTGTTCTTCACCCCACCATTGCTGCCATGCCGTGTTCTTGTTGTCAAGAAGCCTGAAGAAAGAAACTCTCTAACCTCAACTTCCTGCTCACTTGGAGTAAATTACTGCTCGTCTTGAGCAATCCTTTCAATATCTGCCCACATGCCCAAAACTGCCACCACACTCCTCCCCTAAAAACTTCCGAAGGTCACACATACAATTCCATCGACCACTAATCCAACCGCATCTATAGTATCACTCCGCATCTACTACTTCAAAGAGCCCAGACTTTCAAACAAACCGCTTGCACCCACCACATGAACCCACTGAATCAAACTTAGAATACTTTAGTTGCAAATAATGCAACTTCTGGAACGGCAACTGCATCTTATAAGTATCAATCACTCTTCATCTACTCGAAAGCAAGTTTGTCTGCCATAGTCACCTTCTTTCCTTTGCTTTCCTCCATAAATCCTTTAACCTGTAAACTCTTCGAATTTAAGGTATAATCTTCCTGGATTTTTTATTTTTTATTTTAGTAAGGGATTAAAATTTCCAGTCCCAACAAGATTCTCTTCCCAAATTACTACCTTGAGCAGTTGATTGCGTTTGTTTATGAAGTCACCATCTGCAAACAAGCCTCCCAGTTAAAAACCGTATCCAGAAACTGCAGGAGGAAGTTCTCATGACTTCACTTTTTGAAACCTGATCAAACAACCAGGAGGTCTCACTACTGTACTTTCTCAAAAAGTGGTTTGAACTCTTTTAAGCTCTTGCATGATCTGTAAGACCTTCCAATCCGTGACATTTTTTAGCGTTTTGTCATCCAGCCTCCTTTGAGTGATATACTACTTGCCTAAGTATGTGACCTATAAAATGGCAAACTATAATCACAAAAAAAAAAAAAAAAAAAAAATGTTGTAACAAACACAGAATAACAATCTTGGACCAGGATGCTCATAGACAGTAGTCATGAATTTACAAAGGATCCAACATTATACAGCAACCTAATCGGCTTCAAACTTCACAAAAAAACAAAACAAAAAAACATAAATAAATGAACTCATAAGTACTATCTTGTCTAACCTTGCAAATATTCAGATTACTAAGGGCTACAGCATTAAAGAAGTATATATGAAACCATGTTGTTGTACATGTCATATTAAACTAAATCTATACAAATACCAAGATGGCAAACTTTCCTACAAAATGTGATTGGGAGTACCTGCCAAGTGTTCCATAATTAAAACCCCTTGTAAACTCGCATGCGCTCACACACCAGCTGATACTTCATTTGGGGCTGACTTGTCCTTTTTCTTGGGGGGTTCCTGCGCTTTCTGTAGAATAGACTTGTTTGGCACCAGACTAATAAATATATTCCTATCACGAAAGTTTTTGCTCTCCTCGGTAGCAAGCTGCAAATCAGAGCATCAAATGGAAGTTAGAATGCAGAATTCAATGAAGAAATAATCAACATTTCTAAGATTATGAAAACTTAGAACAACCACATGACATGCAGGGAAAATACTGGTAAAAATTAGCACAATTGGGAATTGCTACTGAATGGCTTTAACATAGAATGAAATTGTTGCTGTTCAAAGAGTCTGCTTGAAAGTATAAAAGCTATAGGACCAGTCAATGCTATTATTATAATCAATTCTGCACTGGCTCTCTCGAACTTTGTTAGCCTGAGACATATAGATCTAGTCCAGCCTGGTTTAAAAAATCTCACATAAAAGACAGGCTCTTCTTCTGTTCTTTTCTATATATATATATATATATGTATATATATATATATATATATATATATATAATATAACCTTTTGCTGGACCTTGACACTAAAGTAGAATGAAACAGAACAAAGTATCGAACCCCACTCAAAGCAATTATCGAGACATTAGGAGTTTCAGAATATATTGTATATCAATCTTCCTGTGCAATTTTTTTGGTATAATTGTTTGGCATAAATACATCAAATACATCATGAGTACCTCTCCAACATCATTTTGGAAACGTCTGATAAGTTCAATTGCAATATTTCTGAACTCATTTTCACGACCTTTTAAGTTCACTATGACCTTAACCTGAAATAACAAAATATAATAAATGAATCAAAACAAAAATCCTGCAAATTGAATTAATACATGCAGGCAATCCAGGCATAGAAGTAAAAGAAAAATAAACGACCTTGTCACCATCTTTCAAAAACTTCCGAGCAGCTCTTAAACGCACATCATAATCATGTTGGTCAATGTTGTAACTGTCAATAGAATTAATAAGAGTAATCATGTTAGTTTTAAGTCCAACATAGAATGCAAACTATAGCTTAGAAGTTAAATAAAATTACACTTGAGCTTTCTACTAAAGATCTTGAAGAAATCACAGTTTGAAACATATATGCTTCATTTTTTAATGATTGTTTTCGACTTCTCATATTTCCACATTCTACCCACAATAATGTAGATGACGTCCAGGCAAAACTGATGAGAGAAGAAAAATAAACTAATAAAAAGAAAGAGCATTTATAAATTTAATTTAGAGAACACCGCTGGCCTCAAGGCCAGGAGGTATCTAGCTGCTTCATAATTTGCAGAACAAAAGAACCACTCCTGTAACAAATCTTACCTTTTTTCAATGCCACCTCAAATGATGCAAGAACATATGTATATAGAAGGCAAATTTTTTATTTTCTGCATCATATCTTTCATATTAACAAAAGCCTAATAAAAAGTTTCCTAAGCAAATTGTGAGCAACATACATATGGAAGTAGACTCCACCCACTTTAACTTCCTAGCCTTCTATTTATTAACAAGAAGTTTCCTTTCAGCAATGTTGATACATCAATTTTCAGATGGGATATTTACAACTTGCTAATCAGTGTTAAAATGTGCCTAAGCAAGGATTGTTCATGATGGCATGAAAAAAAGGTAATATTTTGTATCACTGACAGTTAGCACTTGATGAACAAGCAACACTAAACATATCACAGCAAGCTACAAACTGAATAAAGATAAATGGGATGGCAGCTAAATGAAAAGACATGCTGACATATTAAGAGCACATTACTTACCCCATTTTAAGCTCCTTCACATCCATGCGATTTGCTAACATTTAATAGCACACTTTGGTCAGTATACATTCTCAGAACAGAGAATTTAGACATGCAGTAAAGCATCAAACTCTAAAATAGAAGAGGCATTCACCAGCACTTTTCTTCTGCTGTTCTCTCTTTCTCTTTTGCTGTTCATATCTAAATTTGCTGAAAAAGAAGTAAATCAAGATTATGACACTTTTCAATTGGCAATGCTCACAAGAAAGACATCAAAGGGGAATATCTACTATAGAATTGCACAGGGCATTGATATGCTATGCCCAATAAATGTGATTCCCCACCCAAGATGAAAGAACACAAGCAATTTTTTCCATCCTAATATTGTTCCAGCAAATGGCCTTATCCATAAGTCCATAACTCAAAATCAATGGATAAGCACAAAAAATAGCTGATGCAATTTCATTTTGAGTGACGAAGAAAAGAAAGCAAAAAATAGCAGAATACCTAAATGAAAAGACACAGAGGTTCCTTTCTAGAAAGAAGATAGACCAGCAGACTGATAAATCGACTTCCATGCTTTTCAAAAAATACTGGTGCCATAGGCAGGATACAAAATCCATCTAAAGAATACAAATCCAAAAAAGAAGTCCATTGTACTGAAAATACCAATCAAGAAAATTATTAAGTTTTATATCAGATGTAGACAGATTAAAAAAACCTAGTTATATATCCTGCCACCCCTAAAAACTATAACTCAAGGGATTATCAAGCCACCCAACTGCAAAAATAGAAATCTGCATTTTACAATGCTTATTGTTACCACCTTGGTATCAATAATACTGATAGCAAAGGGAATAAAAAATGACAATCTCAATGATCATTGTTTGAGAAGATTTAACCCAACAATGGTTAACCCTATGTTTTGGCGGTATCTATAAAATACGCTACTTTTTACAGATTAAAAAAGAAGACAGATTGCATCAGACGTAGACAAATTAAAAAACCTAGTTATTTATCCTACCACCCCTAAAACCTATAACTCAAGGGATTATCAAGCCCCTCAACTGCAAATATAGAAATATGCATTTTACAGTGTTTATTGTTACCACCTCGGTATCAATAATACTGATAGCAAAGGGAATAAAAAATGACAATCTCAATGATCATTGTTTGAGAAGATTTAACCCAATAATGGTTAACCCTATTTTTTGGCAGTATCTATAAAATGCGCTACTCAGTTCATCTTCTTTGATAAAAGTGGAGAAATATTGAACGTGTGAAAAATTTAACCACTTAAACATACATGTACTTCATTTCATTTGCTTATAAAAGGAAAATGCAAGGAAAGTCATACTTGTAATCCATTATTCTGACAACCGGAGGATCTGCATCTGGTGACACTATCACCTGCAAAAAATAGTAGAAACATAACAGAAACTCAGAAAGAGAACTTTGTTGTGTGTTACGCAAAGTACATAACTGCAACAGCAACAGAAAATGTGCCGTATCCAATTTATGAACCAAAGAGGAATATTTGGGAGGGGGTGGTGTCAATGCTTTTAAAACATAAGGATATAATTTTTGAGGGCTGTAAACAAGAACATTTACTCTGTTAAGTGTTACCAACAAAACAAATCTAACAATTACCAACTAGTGTTTAATCAAAGAGTATGAAGTCTTCCACATCTGATGCTTGGACAAATTCACTGTTGACGACAATGATAAAGATATGAATGGAAAATTTGTTACTACCAATTTTCATCATCCATGTAAAATTTGTTATTTTCCACGAAGGTCCAGCCACAAGAAATATATCTATACTTGGTTGCTAGTACTTTTTCAGGAAGAGAAAGCGCAGATCTATGGACACAATGCAGTCCAGGCCAATTGATAGACATGACTGGAACCCCTTTCCTCACAGCTCATACTATATCCATACTTATACGAATAAAGGTTAAAAGTTCACAATTATTTAAAAACAACTAAAAAAATTAAATGAACAACATACCAAATTAAGTTGAGCATCTTCAGCCATTTGAATTGCCTCACGTACAGATACCACTCCAACCTGAAATAAATCCACACAATCATCAAATTCATAATTAAAAGGATTCCACCGATGGAAAAAATTACATGAGTAAGTGAAAAGGAAAAGGCGAAAAACAGTTTTTTTGTTTCAAGAATAGTAACGCTAAAAAATTCTTGTGTTTCTTTTCCATTTTCTTAGATACCAACAGAAAAAAAAAAAAAAATCGATTTTTAAAACTAACCATATTCTGTTGCTGATCAATGAGCCTCACAGAAGCTGACCTACAAAAAAAATAAAAATAAAAAACTGAAGTTACCATTCATTTCATTTCAAAATCACACAAAAAGCATGCAGCAATTAATAATAATAATCACCTAATGCGAGAGATATCAAGAGCCTGGTCATCATCGGAATCACCCTTCCGAGGCCGCCGCGAGTCATAGGACCGTGGACCACCAAAACGGGAGGTGACGACGGGGCTGGGAGAAGTGTATGAGAGAGAGATAAAAGAGTTCCGTTTGGAGAGATTCGGGTTGTGGAATCGGTGCCCGAAGAGCTTGGATTCGAGAGCAGACAGAGACACGATATACGGTGTCGTCTTGGTTGAGGTTGCACGGATTGCTAACGGGAAGCAGCTGCTGCTGCTAGTGCTGGTGATACCAGTCATGGAGTATTTTCTTTTTTGGTTACCAATTTCGAAAAGAGTATTCTTTTCTTATCCAGACTGAGTTTTGATTTTTGAGGGATTGATGCCAGTGAATCAGAGGGCAGTGGCCAGTGCGGAAGAGCGAGTCATTGTGGGCTGGACTCGTTAACAAAGAAATTTTTTAAGGCCATGCTTCCGGTAGCCCATTTCGTTAGCCCATATGGACTTAAAATGTCAGCCTTAACTGTGGGTTGATTACTTCAATTTTGATTAAAAAGTACATGTGTTCTAGCAATCCCATATTTCCATAATCTGTGCTAAAATCTTTGAGAAGGCAATACTAATAATATGGTATTATTTATGGCATTGTTTACGTACAAGTGCTATTATTTGAACTATATAATAAGATTTTTTTTAATTCATCTCAAACAAATATTTTGCAGATACATTAATTTTTATTTTTTTTACTTGTAGAGTAATTTTAAAGATTTTACCTCATAAATACACATAAGTTTTATTCTTAAAAATCAAGAATCAATATATAATAATATATTTAATTCTCTTATTTGCATGAAAACATCTAATTAAATAAATTTGTTCAATATTAGAAATAAAATTGTAACTTTAAATAATACATGGACCAAAATGTAATGTTATTCAAAAACCTAATGTGGGCTCCTGCCTTGCTCTGTCCCTTCAAAGATCCACCGGTATCATCGAGGATAAAAATATGGAGACAAACCCATTCAGTAAAAACAGAAAGATTAATATCATTGTAAAGTACAAAAAGCCTTTGACCTGCGATCAATGTTGGAGTAACAGTCTTTGACATGAGTTCAATGTTGGAGTTAAAAGGCTAGAGGCGTTTGAAATGCGGATTCTTAAACATTTTTTCAAAACATGGTATTTATATTTAATTGAAAAAAAAATAGTATTTTCTTTGTTTAATTCATCCTTAAAAATTCATGAAAATTTAACCATAAAGTGATAAGCAAGCGTCGATTTGTAGACTAGATTCGGGATCGATCCTTATGATCAATATTTCTAATAATTTATTATCAAAATATCAAAAAATCGTGCATTGAGATTATCCTTTAACCATATTAAAAATATATATATATATCGAAATACGTAAAAATGGTCCGATAATATCCTTGTTTATGAAAAAACAATCATAAAAATTTTAAATAAATTTATCGTCTCAACCTTAAAACTCATTATCCCTAAATTTAAAAATATTAACATAATAAACATAAAAGTAAAAATACATGGTACTAGAAAACTAACATATTAAACTGAATTCAGCTAAAAATTATAATTTTTTGCATAAAAAAATTAGCTTTTCGATTAAAAATAAAAATTTAACTAGATAAAATTAAAACTACCAAGTAAAATAACTATTCTTAAAAACATAGGAACATAATATCTAAAACTATTAGTAAAAATTAAGAATATATTAATCGAATCAATATTAGTAATAGAGATAATAAAATCCAAAATATATTATCTTTGTGATTCTCATCATTTTTAAAGAAGAATCGATCTTATCGCATTCTTTACTTTTAAAAGAGGATATAATTAACTAAAAAAAAAATAGATTTTTGAGCATTCAAGATCTCCTACATATTAAATACATAAATCCATGGTATCTCAAATAACTTTCCAATGGATATTTTAAATGGTTTGGAAACTAGAAATTACCTGAAGTCCAACTCTAATCTTTTAAGTACTATTAAGATCGGTCAATCTTCAGCTCATCATCATTACAAAGAAACTAAAAGAACTGGGGTCTTTCAAAAGTAAATGAACAGTACCTTAATTTTTTTGTTTTCTTTTGTTCGTTTTTGGTTTTTTATTTTTTTCATACTATTGGATTAACCAGTAGCCAAGGCCTAGCGACCTGGCTCTCAAGCACGCACGCACTAGGCCTTAAATGCCTAGCCTGGCCTTGCTACATATACATATATATATATATATATATATATATATCCAAGCCTTGGTTGCCTAGCGTTGGCCTTCTTTTCTTTTTTTTTTTTTCTTTTTCTTCGTGTGTATATATATATATGTATATATATATCTATACGTGTGTGTATGTATATATATATATATGGCTCATGATTGACAAACACATCTTTAGGTTACAATGGCCATTTTGAAACATTTTTTATTTTTTATTTTATTGCAAATTTGTAATGGCTAATAATTTTTTGATATAATTTTATTTGTTTATAAATTTGTCTTGATATAATTTTATTTGTTAATAAATTTGGTTTTTTAATATATGAATTTTTGAATAAAATTTTAGAACGTCAATGTTTTATTTTTTAAAATATATTATTATAATTTATACAATAAATTATTTTTATATTTTTAAATGAGTGTTTTAGAGAGAGAGAGAGAGAGAGAGAGATATATATATATAAAAGTATGTTTTAAATAGTTTGACTCGATTTTGTTAACAAAAATAATAATGAGTTAAAAAAAATCACAAGTTTTTTTTGGTTTTTTATATATATTTATTCGGAATTTATCAAAACCAATATTGTTGTAGTTTTTATCTTAATCTATTGACTTCAATATATTTCAATAATTTAGGTGGTTTTTTTTTGGTATATTTATTCTATTTATTCTCATATATTCTCATATATATATATATATATTAGAAATTAAATATATATAGATTCAATTTATATTAATCACAAAAAATAAAACTTTCTATTGGCATTACACCATACGAATTGTTAACCCTACGTATGTAACGGTTTTACGCTTGCAGTGGAACACGAGTATCCGACTAGTGGCAAACTATAGACACACACAAAGTTGATAAATGAGTTGAAAAGTACGAAGCATAAAAGACTTGCATTTTATTTCACATCGACTTTTGATGGCATTTCTTACATGCTTATAGATAAACAAAAGAAAAGGGGCAAACCTAGCTAACTTATAACAACAAAGAAGCAAAATAGGACTACACTACCTTGATCTTCAAATACTCCATGCTTTAACTTCGACTCAACCTCCTCAATCTTTGGCCCCGGTCCCCGATTAGACCCAGTAGACCCACCTTCGGGCATGCCACCGCCCATATATGTATCACCTCCACCAAGCACCACCACTTTGGTACATCTTCGCCATTATAGGATTGCAAATACCTTCCAGTTCCTTCGACTGTCCTCAAGCTCATCAATTTCAGCCAATTGGTTCCCGTCCAACCACTCCGCAGTCTCATGCACCGCCTTCTCATTCTTTTGATTATCCGTCGGGTCCAATTTCCCTACAAACTTATAGTCTTTAACTCGTGTTCCTCGTGTTATATGCAAAATTCTCGAAGGCATTCTTTGCTTTCACCTTCTTCTTCACCTTCTCATCCTCGGACTTATATTTCTCTCGCTTCTTACACAATCTTCTCGATGTCTTTCTAGCTTAACCTTCCTTTGTCATTGGTAATGGTGATCTTGTTCTTGACCCCAGCGAGTCTTATCTTCTATTGTGACATTTGAGATACCATTTTCATCAATGTCGAAAGAAACATTGATTTGAAGGACACCTCTTAGAGTTGGAGGGATGCTCGTGAGCTCAAACTTGTCGAGAAAATTGTTATCCTTGGTTACTTATACATCATATATATTTCACTCGTCAAACCAAGCAACCTTTCACCAAAGTAAAAAACATTCACGTTTCTTCTTCGTCTTTGCCATAAAAACTCTAAGCTCCTATGCTCGTAATCATTCCTCCTCCTTTTCTTCTCTCATTCTTCTTTCCAAAACATAAAAAAATTGAATTCTCGTCAAAGACTCCTTCAATTTCACACTTGTTCAAAAATTAAGTCTTCCTCTTTCACTAATTTATCTCCTTTACAATTCATTTGTATTTTGTAACCGAATTGAAATAGTTTTGAATTTTTTACGATGAGTCCGATTTTGCTAGTGATACTAAAGAAGAAGTTGATGTTTGGTGACGGTCGTTAACGATAAAAGGTGGTGTTTGTGGGTAACAAGTGAAAGAGAGGTCCATTGAGAGGTGATGATAATGGGTTAAGGTTAAAGAGGTTTGGGGCAGTGGAGATCGGTTGGCCAAAGGTTTCGAATGAAGGGTGCCTTTGGCATGATAAGAGAGAGTTAGCTATGGCTAGACATAATGTTTGGTAGCAGGGGAAATGATGACTAGAGCTTGAGCTTTGACGGCGGGGTGAGCCGATGTTTCTCTCTTTTAGGGTTTTCCTATAGTAAAAAGGATGATTGGGGAACAATCCACATGAATCCTATGTTGAATCCTACATGACATATTCAAGTAAGTTGTCATGCTCCATCACGTTCCATGTCGGCTTTGGTTAGAATTTAAATCGAAAAAAACTCGCATGTGCTAGCATTATTATTAGAATTTTAGTTTGTGATCTTTTTATCCAAAATTAGAAAAACGAGATAAAATGCTTAAAAAGTATAAAGTTCATGATTTTCCGAAACATTAAGCCTTTTATTTTCTTTTATTTGTGCTTAGATTATCTTCTCTCTTTTTTCTTAATTTTCCTTTTCTCATTTTTTTCTTCAATTTTTTTATGCTTGATTATTTTTTTTAAACACTCACATAAATCATAAAACTCATAACAAACTCAAAAAGACTAAAATTTGAAAAATTAGAGAAATCGAATAAAATATTCAATTTTTGGTTTTTTTTTTTTAACTTTTACGTAAAAATAGAAGGCCAAAATCGAGTGCTAACAAATAGGACTCTACAATCACAATCGAGTGGTTGGACAATTAAGATGTTAGTGTTAATAGGTAGTAGTTAATAAAATAGAGGACAAAATCTTATTATCACGAAATAAAATTGTATTTAGATTGAGGATAAATACAAGTGTAATAATTCCATGAGAAAACTATAAGTTAAGTGTCCGACTCTTGATTTTTATTTATTTTATTTTTTATTTAAGTGTCCAATCATTGGTTTTTTTTTTTTTTTTTTGAGTGGTCGTGATCATCTAAGACTCGATAAACACCGATGTATATAAGATGAACTACTCACGTGGCAACAAATTGATCCCACTTAGGCTATTAAAAAAATATACAATTTAAGTACCTAGATCATTTTTTTTTCTTTGAGTGTTTAACATTTGATTATTTATTTATTTATTTGAGTGCCTATCTATTTCACTAAAATAGATATTTAATATTAAGTTGTCTTAAGAAATAAACAATGAAACCATCTTTAAAAATTAACTCAAAAAATGAATTGTAATTTTTTTTTTTTTTTGCCATAGATAGGACCGTATAGTCTACGATCATTTGTTAGACGAGTTAAGAGGTTAATATTAGTAGGTAGTACTTAACGAAGCAGATGAGAAAATTTATATTATCACAAATGAATTTGTATTTGGGTGGAGAATATATACAAAGATAAAAATTGCATAAGAAACTACAAGTTAAGTGACCAACTCTTGAATTTTTGTTCTTTTATGTTTTAGTGTTTAATTGATAAATCCTTATATTTGAGTGTATAATCTTTGATTTTTTTTTTGTTTGAGTGTTCACAATCATCTAAGGCTGAAAAATACCGATGTGTCATGGATGAACTCCCATGTGGCTAAAATGGGTCCCACTTAGACAATTTTTTTTTTAAATACAATTTGAGTGCCTAACATTTAATTTTTTTTTCGAGTGCTCAACATTTGATTTTTATTTATTTATTTGAGTTATCTTAGTCACCTAAGACTTAAAACTATTGACATGACCAGGATTTACTCGACAAGAATTAAAAATAAAAACATAATCAATTGATGATACCCAAATGAATTTGAATTGTTTAAATAATCCAAAGTTAAAACTCTTGAATTAGACAACGAAAAAACAATTTAAATAATGATATCCTACAAGTGTTTTAAAAAATTAGTCAACAAACCTATCGTGTTCATTTGACTAACAATTATTGAATTTTTTTTAATTATTGCTAGTTGTTTTTTTAAGAAAAATTTTATATTTTGTTTCTCAATAAATCCAAGTGATACTTTTTTTCTTTTTGTTATTTGTCAATTAAAAACTATTGTATGTCAATGGATACTTGACCACGTTCAGTGTTTTTAATCTCAAGTGAACGAGGAAACTTGAATAATAAAACAAAAGAAAATCAAACTTTGGACAATCAAACAAAAAAATAATCAAAATTTAGATACTCAAATTGTAGTTTTTTCTAAAAAAAAAATCAATTTTTTTTCTAAATAATCTAAGTAAAACCTACTTTTTACCACAAGTTATTATTTTAGAAATTATCAAAATTTTTCAATTTTAAATGATTGTAAACCCTCAAATTAAAAAAAAAGTTAAAATTTGAATACTCAAGTAAAAGAATTTACAAGTTGAATACTCAAATAGAAAAACAAAAAATTAGACGCACACAGTTTTCTCCAATTGCTTTCGTTGTCAGAGGCCTATGGAAAAGACGGTGCACGTGCAGGGGTGACCAACGGAAGGGATACTTGGTAGTTGTTACCTGTAGTGAGAAACAGGTAAAAAGGCCATAGAAAGAAAGAAGGGAAATCAATCACGTAACGTGGAGGAATAAACCGTCTCGTGTGTGCTAAGACTATCAGCTGTCGCTTACGTATGGCCAGATGATAAGCAACCGAATGCACCAAAGCTAGGGGGTGCCAGTGGGGCCCGAACGATAACCGGTTAAGGTTAGGGCAATCGTTCCCTTGCTGTTTTGTTTTGGAAACGTTGTTTGTGAAGTGCCGTCTTCTATGATTCTTATTTCATCCGATATGGAAGCGAAAAGTTGGATTTTAAAGTACTTGGACGTCTTTGTGTTTCAATTTTTCGCTCTTTTTTGGGTTCCCTCATGGTATTGTATTGCGTGCATGTTGGGTTTTTATTATTAATTGTATCTATAAAAAGAATGTTCCACTAAGATTGAGTTGTGTTTTTATGCTATAAGCAATATTTTCAACTCATTCTAAAAAAAAAAAAGTACCTTAAATTCACCAGAACATGATAAACATAATAATATTAAACATGTTCTATATCTAATCATATATTATTTATTCTTTTTTTTACTTTTAATTTTATTATCTTACTAAAAACCTTTTTTTTTTTTTAAGAAATTACTGCTCACATATATCTTGTACATTTAATAGTTAAAATCTTTATTAAGTTACTTTACTCAATAATTAAAGAGAAAGTTTTAAAATAACGATACAAAAGTAAAATAAAATTGTAAAAGGATTATGATTGAATTTTTTTCATTGATTCACTAATTATTTAGAGACTTTGTATCAATTTATTACTTTAAAAATTATTAGAATTAAATAGTGTTATATATGTGGATATAATCTAATATTTCTGTGTCCCTGAGTCTTAATAATTTTAATCTCTTTAGTTATTTTGTAAAAAGAGGAATATTGTAGACTTTTTGATGATTTAAAAAATATTACGAGAGAAAACAAAAGTTTTGCTATAAATTACACCAAATCCAAAAAGTCACATTAGCCGATGTTTATTCCTTTTTGTTTTGAGAAATAAATTAATTAGTCTCTCTTATTTTAAAAATTAATTATTTAGTTCTTATATTTTAAAATTTACTTATAATTTATTTTTTTAATTTATTTTGATTTTTTGTTTTAAGGAATAGAAAAAATTATTTAAAAAATAAAAAATTGATGATAAAATAAAAGATTTTATGAGATAAAAATAAAATTTAAATTAAGCATGGTCTACTCATTAAAAAATTAAATAATATTTTTTAAACTGAAGGGGACTAATTATTTTTTTTGTTGAAATTAGAGAAGCTAATTTGTAATTTACTCCACTAGCCGATTCAATTCCCAAACGGACGAGAACAAGGACACCGACGTAATTACATAACAATTATTGCACCCGAAAAAAAAAAAAAAAGAACACTCAGCTATAGAAGGGTTTGGTATTCCTCTTACCCACCGGCCTCACGTACTCTCCTCTTCTTTGCTCTTCGCAGAAGAGAGAGAATAAAAACCCCCCCCCAAAAAATCCTCTCTTTTCTCTCTACGAAACTCCTTTTCTCTTTATCTCTCTATCTCGATTCAGTGCTATTATCGTCATTAGCAGCTGAATCTGTTACTTTCTTGGTTTTCCTTGTTTTTTTTTTTTTGTTTTTGATTGGACGGTGGAGATTCAAATTTAAAAACGAGTGAAAGATCGAGTTATGCAGCAAGGTGATCAAACGGTGTTAAGCTTAAGACCTGGTGGTGGTCGAGGGAGTAGACTCTTCAATCCTCGCTTGGAGCAGTCATCTTCTTCTTCTACATCTTCTTCTGTTTCTTTTGGTGATCTCCTCTCTTTCGTCCTCATGGCAGTGCTCCCTTTTTGAAGGTCTTTATCATTACCCATCTTTGGATCTAGACCCTTAGCTATGTAAACATGTTTGTTCTGATATTATGGGATTGGTTTTGTGGGTTTTAGATTGATTTTTCTGGGTTAGGTGTGGATTGGGTCTTGAAGAAAAATGGATCTGTCATTGATTTTTCATTACTTGTGATATTTAATTGTTGTTGTTATTTGTTTTTTGGGCTAAGAGTGGGTTGGGATTGGTTTTTCTTGGTTAACAACTTAAGCTTGTTTATGTCCGGCTGGATTTGGCAACTGTTTTTAAAAATTGTTAAAGTTCTGCTTTCAAAAGCTAGCAGTCTACTATGTTGTTGAACTGTTGTTCGTAGTTGTTATTCTGTTGATTTGTTTTTGTTCAGAGTGGGATTGTTAAGTAGTTTAAAGATAATGAAAAAGGTTATTTCATAATAAGAACGTGGGAAGGTTGGGAATTGCAGTGTCCTAATTCTTGGTGGGCCACTTGATATGTGTACCTGCTGTAAATATGGACGAACAACAATATGTAGGCTTTAGGTGGGCATCTAGTGAGATTCGGATTGCCCATAAAGGACCTACTCACATTTAGATTCTTAGATATAGCGATGATGAAACATTGGAAATTTAGTTAAGTTATAACCTTTTCCAGTTTATTCTACTTGATGTGGGTCGTAGCTTGTGAGTTTACCATTGAGCTTCATATTTTGCAATGTTGAAGCTCAGCTTTGCATTTCTCTGTGGTTTACTATATTAAAAAGAATCGAGCTTTTGAGTATGTGGTTGGGCCAACGAAATTGCATCAGTTCTATTAGCATCATTGTTTGTTCATGAAGTTGCCATGTTGAACTTTTTAAATCCATAGACAACTTGAGTTTAATTGTCCATGTTAATGATCTTAAGTACGCCCCTTTCTGCCATATTTAGGAGTCAAATAGGTCTAGTCTCTTAATCTGGTATGATGCTTTTGTTAGCTGAGCTCTTCTACCTCTTCATCTTTTAATTTGCTGAGGAAAAGCAGCTGTATGGTATCAGCATTTTGTCGATTCAAGGCAATAGTTTTATGATATTTATGTGTATCGGTGGCATCTGTTGCAATACTACACCTTAGTTTTGCAAGCTGTTTTACACATTTTTCTTAATTAAGCTGTTTCTGGGAATTTTCCCATATCACTCGCTTCTTGCAATATAGCTTGTTTTTTAGCATATTCAACTTTATTGATTTTGTTGGAAGCTCTTGACTCCAATTGTTTTCTTCTTATAGACTGGAGACCTGCGGTTTGAGGCTCGTGACCGTGTGCGGTACTCTAGAGACCAGCTGTTGCAGCTTAGAGAGGTATTGATTTTAAATAAACCTGAGGATGTTATTAAGCCTGTTGACATTGATTTTACATAGAAGAACTTGTAATTCTTGGCTTGATGCTGATTTACGTAACATTTATTTGTTGGCATAGAGTATCAAAAACCAGCATGAATATATGGGGGATGTTTTGTTTCAATCCTCAGTTTTAAAAAACTGGTTTTCCCTTTTGCATATTCATCCTTTATATTTGCTTTTGCATCCTTTTGTTTGCTTTTCCATTCGGTTTTAAAATCTGGTTTCATACACCTTCTGTTCTGAAGCATACTACTGTTTATAATGGAGAATAAAGTGTAGAAATGCTGTAAATGACATGGTTATGTGGCATTCATGTTAATTAGTAACTATTTTGGTATGATTCATCTGTTTTTCATTTGAGTTTGGTCATTATTTTCTCATAGGCTGTTGTAATCTCTGATGAGATTCTAAAAATCAAACAAGAAATTGAAACTGAGCTTTTTGGCGAAGATCAGAGCTGGAGTCGTGGAGAAACCAATGTGAGTCTTTTTTCCCATTTTGATTTGCTTCATTAATTTTTCCCATTTGTTGCAAGGAGGAGTTGAGGGTTTAATTAGTTTAGATTAGGGTGGAATCTAGTTGTTTGGATGCATCAGATGTCTGTTGTGGTAGATTGATGATGCTTATAGTAGTGATTTCTTTTGCCCCTTCCAGCCTCCAACTCAATCTCAGAGTCGTTATTCTGAGCCAGACAATCGTGATTGGCGTGGACGCTCTGCTCAATTTTCTCCATCTGGAGAGGAGAGGTCCTGGGATTCTATTAGAGAAAATAGAGACTTTGGTGGGAGATATGACTCCAGGCAGCAAGAAGGCAATCAGTCTAATCGTCAAGACCAACAAATCTCTTCTAATCAGGTAATATATGTCTCCTTCCTTTTATTTGTTTGCTGCAATCTTGTGAAATATTTGTTTAACTTGTGAAATATTTGTTTATCTGTCCACTAATTTTCTTTTTCATGTGCTATTCTGATACCTTTGAGTTGTAATTTGTAAAGATATTTAACGGTGTTGTTGTATTTACAATTTCTTCCAAAGTAGAACTTGTACATGTATTGAGAACAATAATTTACTGTCAAGATTTCTAATGTGACTCGTTTGCTATTGTATATCATGAAAAGTTTGACTAGAAGCAGTTACAATGTAGATGCTTTTGCCATCAGCCATATCATCTTTGATGAAATGTGTATTTTTAGAAGTTTTCTTTAGCTTCTTGTTGATCTTCTAATTAGGAATAACGTACCAGAAGTCTAGACGTGCAAGCTTTTCTCTTTGTTTGAATTTCTGCTCCGCTCTACTCTTATAAATATGCCATTTGTTCAACTTTGTTTCTGTGATGGTTTTGGTAACTGGTTTATGATATTCTTATCATTATTTTGCTGTATCCTGGTGATATCTTTGTACAAAGTTCTGTAGTTTGGTACATGTTCTCCTTTAGCTCCAACATCTGTATTTTCTTTAAACCAGGGGGGACCTGCTGCTGCTTTGGTCAGGGCTGAGGTGCCATGGTCTGCTAGAAGGGGGAATCTTTCTGAGAAGGACCGTGTCTTGAAGACTATAAAAGGGTAACTTATTCTACTGATTTTCTATGTGTCTTTTCTTTTTATCATTGGAAAATATCAAAATAGGATTTTTATGTGCCATTTCATGGTCATGGATGACTGCAGTAAAGTCTGGGGACAGGCGTACCTGCGCTCGTACCCAAGACATGGTTGCCAGCTCAAGACATTTTCCGTTCCATAGTTGTCCATATACATATTGAAAGTGTGGCCTTTTTGATAACTTGATGGCGTTTTTGCGATATTTTATGCCTTGAATCCAGGGCAGTGTCCTCAAATTGCACAATCATCTTGGTTTTGTGCATATTCTTGTTGATGTTAAAATTTGTATAATTTGATTTTACTTTTGAGTGATGAAAGCAGCCGGGAATTTTCTAATGTAATCTGGATTCTTTGAACTTGTCACCTATTAAAATTAAATATCAAATTGAGCTTGGCGTAATTGTTATAAGTTTAGGGATTTACTAATCATGGTTTTAGAATGTGTTCAAATCATATAGTATGCACTTTATTATAAATTGGATTTCTGAATGTAGGAAATTTCACTATTCTTTAACTTTTATTTATTACTATCAACAAAGAAAACATGCATTATTGGTCATTTCTTTGCCAGTGACAGCACCAGATAGTTTAAAGGGATATGTTGCTGTGTCAAGTGGTTTAATTTTTAATTTTTTTTTACCCTGGTTCTTTCTCACTCATTAATTTGCTGGATGCAATCACCATTTCCTTCTGTATTTTTACCTATCTGGATTATATGGTTCTTTATGTCATTCAGATGCTGCCATTGCTTTTGAAAAATCTAAAGAGCTTGTTCAACAAAAGTATCCACGGTAGTTGTATGCTGAATACTTTCTGCTTTCTGTGCAGCATACTGAACAAGCTTACCCCTGAGAAGTTCGATGTTCTCAAGGGTCAACTTATTGACTCTGGAATTACATCAGCTGAAATCTTAAAGGTTAACTTTTTGGCGCATGGTTTTATTTTTATTCCTTTAGATTTATAGCAGCTGCCAGTTGAGCTCAAGGTTGACTTGGAATGCAGGATGTGATATCACTTATATTCGATAAGGCTGTTCTGGAACCCACTTTCTGTCCCATGTATGCACAGCTGTGCTCTGATCTTAATGCAAAGCTTCCCCTATTCCCATCAGATGAACCTGGAGGGAAAGAGATCACATTTAAGCGGGTACTTTTGAATAACTGTCAGGAGGCATTTGAGGGTTCTGATAAAATGAGGGAGGAAGTAAGGCAGATGACAGGTCCAGAGCAAGAGCTCGAGCGTAGGGATAAGGAAAGACTGGTCAAGATTCGCACTCTTGGAAACATCCGTTTGATTGGGGAGCTTCTGAAGCAGAAAATGGTTACTGAAAAGATTGTTCATCATATTGTTCAGGTTAGCAGTGAAGCTTCCAATTGTATAACTTCTCAGATGCTACTGACTGAGGTTTTTAGGATTGCTTACAACTACTTTGCTATGTGAACAGGAGCTTCTAGGGCCTGATAATAAAATTTGTCCTGCTGAAGAAAATGTTGAGGCCATATGTCAGTTCTTTAACACCATTGGTAAGCTGCTTGATGAAAGCCCAAAGTCACGGCGTATAAATGATTTGTACTTTGCTCGATTGAAGGAGCTGTCATCAAATCCTCAGCTGGCTCCTCGACTGAGGTTCATGGTTCGAGATGTTCTTGATCTGCGGACAAACAACTGGATTCCCAGGCGTGAAGAGGTAGGACTTCTATCCTGTGAATTTTTAATTTAGCAAATAGATGCTTTTTTTATGGAAACATTTCATTGGTTTGTCATTGCAGGTCAAAGCTAAAACCATCACAGAGATACATTCTGAGGCAGAAAAGAATCTTGGGTTGCGTCCAGGTGCTACTGCAAGCATTAGAAATAACCGAGGTGTTATTTCTGCTGCTCCAGGGACTGCTGGGCCTGGGGGCTTCCCCATCAACCGACCTGGCACTGGGGGCATGATGCCTGGCATGCCAGGAACTAGGAGAATGCCTGGGATGCCTGGAACTGATAATGACAATTGGGAGATACCTAGAAACCGTTCAATGCCTAGGGGTGATGGTCTTATGCAGCCTGCTGGACGTGTCCAACCACCAATATTTAACAAGTCAACGCCACTAAACACGAGGTTGTTACCTCAGGGCAATAGTGGTTTTATGGGTGGAAGGAGTAGTGCCCTCTTGCAGGGAAGTGGCAGTCATCCTAGGTCATCCAACTTTGGTTTTGGTGCAGAGGCTCCTGCTCAAGCCCCTGTACCTAGTAAAACTCTTCCTGCTCCTTATGTGCCTCCAGTTGCAGAGAGACCAGTTGTTCCAGCTGCTAGGGTAAATCCTGATGAACTCAGGAGAAAGACGGTCTCGCTCCTGAATGAATATTTCAGTGTCTTTCTTCTGGATGAGGCATTGCAATGTGTGGAGGAGCTGAAGTCTCCAGCTTATCACCCTGAACTCGTCAAGGAAGCTATCTCCATTGCATTAGAGGCAAACCCACCATGTGTTGGACCAGTTGCCAAACTTTTGGAATATTTGTTTGCCAAGAAGGTCCTCACAGCTGAAGACATAGGGGCTGGGTGTTTACTCTATGGTTCTATGTTGGATGATATTGGCATTGATTTGCCAAAGGCACCAAATAATTTTGGTGAAATTATGGGGAAACTAGTTTTGGTCGGAGGTTTGGACTTTAAAGTGGTAATAGAGGTCCTTAAGAAGATGGAGGATGATATGTTCCGGAGAGCTGTATTTGAGGCAGCAATAAGGATCGTTAGTTCAAGTCCAGATGGGCAACATGTATTAGATACTCAAGCATCCGATATTGAGGCTTGCCGGAGTTTGTTTTAGCAAGTCTTACCATTTAATTACGTGAGTACTTCAGCATCTGTATCCAACTTTTTTGTGCTTACGTTTACTTCATAATGCTCTGCCTACACCATTTTGAGGCGAGCAACTTGTACGATGTGATAAGGTGGAGCTGCCAAGAACAGGACATATTTTTTGAGTTGTATATTTTTGCCTGGGGTCATAGTTGTGTGTTATCAAAGAAATCAATCAAACCATAATGCTGTGGATTTTGGTCTCGAGTGGTGTTAATCATGTGCCTGTGCCTGTACCTGTACCTTCAGAAGAATGGTCCTTCAAGGGATCCAGTTGTTTTGTATTTGATTAGTTATCAATTTTTGTTTTCTTGACTCAGTAATTTAGTTTATTGTTTGAACTATTCAGCTCATAAACCCAACTTAATTTCTACATTTTCACTTGTATCACCTTTTGTTTGCCTTGCTGTTATGTTCTGTGTTTTCCTTTAGTTTTGACGTTAGCCTGATTGCTGGTACTGTGTTTCTGGTTTTGAGGTTGACCGTTCCCTTTTTACTCGGTCGATTAGCAAAGCTTTGCCAAATGATCTCCATTCTGGACTTTTCTTTTTTCTTTTTCTGTTGGCTAAGAGGTGCCAAGTTCCGTTTTGCCATCGAACTTCGAAAAGATTATTGAGTGGCAAACTGGCAATGTCGCAAGTGGTGGGATTTGCTTAGTGAAAAGTGAAAACAACAGTGGAAGTGTCAAGCTGGTCACAGGACAACTTAAATCGGTGATTGAATTTATAGGTTCCACTTCAGTTGATTCTTTCATTTCTACGTTTTAGAAGCTAGCAGTAGCAGACTGGATGGCTCGCAATTTTAGGTCACACCTCAACGTCTACTTTCCACAACCAAAGTCAATAAGTAGGGAAAATAAGGGCACTTGAGATGATGGTTAGGGCTGTGTGATGAGGGATCCAGTCACTTTTTATTTATTTTTTGTTGGGAGCTAGGCTTGGCTTCCGGAACGAGGCGAAGGTTAGCACAGTAGCACTTCCTTCTAGATTGTGCAGTGTTCATCAAACGGTGGTAAATCAGATTCGTATGATAATTTCTTTCAAATTCTCTTTACTATTGATTCTAAAATTTATTTTAGAGATTATAAAGCTCTATCAACTAAGAAGAGTTTATGAATTTCTCAAATTCTTTTCAAGATTCCAAATTTTGTCAAATAGCACTACCAACGTGTGACAATTTTTTTTTCTTTAATGGAAACACCTTTCATAAGAATTGTTTCCATCGCAGATAATCGAGCTAGGTTTGCTAAGCTATGGGCAGATTAATACAGAGTTCAATTCCAATCATAACAAACAGCAGAAACAGATAACTTTTTTAAGCAAAATCGATTCGTATCGTAAGTTTTGTCGAGAATGTGGTACTTATTCTTAAAATGCAGAGAAAACAATATATATTGTTGAAAAAATTAAAAAATGAACTTGAAAAGGAACAGAAATATGTAGTGTTTAATTGCCAACACTCCTAAAATTCCTGTGCAGTGCAGTAGTCCTCTAGTCTTTGATTATTTAAATATATATAATTCCAACTAAATATCTTAATTTTCCGTCTAATTCCTTCAATCAAATATTTGAAAGTTTTGCTAGAGATCCACTTTATAAGCTGTCTTCTTATTTTCATTCTTTTCCAATGTGGGATAAAATCTCATTTGAAAACACTTTTAAATTTTCTTCATAGTACGCTTAACTTATTATCTAACATTCCTAAGATCTCTAACATATATATATATATATATATATATATATATATATATATATATTAAGTAAAAAGAAATGCAAAACAAATCATAAAATTTTATTTTATTTGCTTGAGAAATATCACGATCCAAACGCTTCTACTATACAAGCGGAAGCCCCTTATAAATAGAGCAAACGGAACTAAGGTTCACCCGCGTACAGGAATTTTCAAATTCTTTAGAAAGAATGAGCTCAAGCGAACCAGCAACAAACACCAAAACTGCAGCATCATTATCAACAGATGACCAGTCACTGAAGTTCGCCGTTGCAATTTCACTTCTCCGATCAAAACTTCTACAAAAACAGCCTCCGCAGAATCCGACTCGTAACAATCCTCCTTCAGAATCCGATGCTCTTCGCTGGAAACGAAAGGTGTTTTCATCATCTTCATTCTCTGTTTGGTTCACAATAAAATGCATACAGTTCAGTCAAATTGAATGTGATTTGGTTTTGCGGAGGAGAATAATTGCGCTACTGTTGATTTCTTTTGAAAGGCTAAAGAGCGTAAACAAGAGCTTCTTCGACTGAGAGAAGATCTCAAGGAAGCTGAAGGTTCTAGAATTTAATTTCTCTCTTTCTGTTCGGGTTTTTGATTTTTTTTTTTTTTTTAATGTTTCTGATTCTTTTTTCTTTTTTGAGTTTAGATGCTTCACAGTGTGATTTGTTTCCACAAACTGCGCTATGCAAATGCTATTTCTTTGATAGTTTGGGGAAATTAAGCCCTAAGTCAGTCGGAGACGGCTCCAATCGCAGATTTAACGATGCTCTTCTCCGTCGATTTCTCAGACAAGGTTTCATTATTCTCATACTCATTATGATTGATATAACGATTTTCACTCTTAATTTATTAATTAGTTACTTCACTTAATTAAAATAGTTACTTGATTGAATTTTTGAACGTTTCAGTGCGGTTAAAAGAAAGAAGGAAAAGAACAAATAATTCAAATGCAAAACTACGCTGTTCAGGTAATTGGACTTAAATTTGACTACTTTTTTCTCTAATTAGCGGCATTTTGAAGTTAATTTAAGTGCTGTTTATGGCTTTCCATGCTGTTTATCCTTCATTGCTTTTCCTTTTATTTGTTGCTTAATTTACTTGGACATTCAGAAATTTATAAGAAAAGAAAAATTTTAAGTGTTTTAGAGCAATGTGGGGGGACATTTAGAGCTTTTATGGTTACATTAATAATGGACTTATAATACAATGGCAGATATATACAGTGAAAATGTGGCAGAGCAACTTAGGGCGGCTGTTGATTTTCTTGTGGAACTTTGTGCCACAACTTCGCCTGTAAGATTGGATTACTTACTATTCCTTGGTGCCTTTTCTTGGTTTTTTTTTTTTTTTTTTTTTTTTTTTTAATATTTGCATGCTAACCATAAGATTCAACATGTTACTTGGTTGAGTAACTAAATATTTACGGTTTTGATTCTACATCTATTTAATTTTGCAGGTAGAGCAGGGTAATTTTGCTAACTGGTCACACCAAGCTGCAGATTTCATTTTAGGTAATCATAGAGTAGTTTTAGATACCACTCCGCAAGAGAGTATTAAAGTAATTGCAATCAGCGTTTGCATCTATTTCAACAGAGTAGTGCTTAATATCCATGAAATAGGATTCTCTTGAATTTATTACTACCATGAATGAAATTTTTACTGGTTTTAAATGCATTTTGATTAATACATTCTATTTGATTCATCTGAGCAATTTGTAATTTTTTGACACTATGAGATAAGATTTCTTTTCTTCTCTTCTTCCCGACCTTTGATACATGTGGAATGAACTTGAAGCATCTTCAGCTGACATTTTTTTTCCTCATGTTAGTAAGTCAGCAAAACCTGCAGATAATTTCATTTATGATTACTAGATAGTACCTATATGATTGATGTACATAGAATAGAATAAGTGCCGGGAGGCAAGAACAAGGAGTGGACTTTATAGACACCTTTCTGTTTATTTGGAACAAGTACGTTGGTATATTAAGATGATTTGAATGAGCATGGAGTGTCCCAATCAGCCTTCTGACAAACTTGAATGGAATTTGACTCAGTTTGCCAGGCATACCTACAGATTTTTTTTATCAGTATTCAAGAGTTCTCTTTTTTTTTTTTTGGAATTTTTTTTTAGGATTAGGCGTTTGCTCGACTGCAAGTAAGGGAATTGTGATGGCAAACGAGTCTTTTACCATCTGTTCCTTATTTCAGGAAAGAGTTGGGGTGTAATTCTATGGCTGCTGTTAAATTTGTGTAGAATGGTGATTCGGTTGTTAGCTTTCACGAGGAAAAATTGTGCAGACTGATTGGACATGACGTAAATGCAAATAGAACGGGAAGTATTCTTACTATCTATGCTATAATAGGTTAACATATCTCCAGGATTATAAGATATAACCTGAACTATTTAATGTTACCAAGCTAGTTAAACCTCATAACTTAAATTGAATATGATGGTATTCTGGATAGTGGTAAGCTGTAGCCTGTATGAACTCATGCAAGTAGTGGGAAAAGTTATCATACGATGAGAGGAGGAAGAGGTTTAATTTGTCCTAGGCAGTAGCAGGCTAGTAGCTGTTGATTAATTCAAGTGGAAGTTGCTACAGAGCAAGAGCGGGTTCAATCTGTTAGAGAACATGACATCTCAAATTCTCAGTGTATTGAAAATTGGTTCTAAATTGTGCTAGTGCCTTGAAAATGTTTCACGTAAGTTGATTCAGAGTAGTTAGTGATGGAGAACTGGTAATAGAAGAAATAAAAGTATGCTTATTTGTTTTATTAGCCATTCTCCATCAGTCAGGTGCTAGCATTTGTTCAATCAAGTACCAGAAGCTATCTTGAATTTATTCAATTCAATACAAGAAAATTTTAGATTAAACATTAATATTTGAATATATCCTCCTGTTCTGTTTATTTATACGTCTAGTGATGGACCGATGAGCTTTGCATCATCAACTCTTTTCTTTGTACAGTTTCACATCACAGATAGATTTGGTTAGTAGGCATCGCATATACCTGCAATCACCACATCTGTTAATTTTTTCCCTTGTTGCTTCTGCTATTTTAAATTTTGATCTGCTCCCTGTCTCTTGTAGCATCATTGAGGAACCTGTTATCAATAGGAAATAACATGGAGCTCATTGAAGGAATTGTTAGTAGCTTGATTGTGCTGTTAGTTAAAAAGATGTGTTCCCCTTCACATGGAGATGGTAAGCATTTGGCTGCTTTAGGAACTTACGATGTATTAAATCTCATAGATACACAAGATTTTTGAACAGTAGGAACTTTGATCTTTCTTTTTTCGACTCTTTCTCCTTGTTTAATTGAACCAAATCTCTCGATTTCTTTGTTAACAAAATTGTAAGGAACACATGTTTTGGTCTGTTCCAATGACTGATACTCTTGGTTGTTTTATAATATTGCATTTTTTCCTGTTAACTAGTTCTTCCTGTTAACATCTTGACATGCTGTGACAGAGTCACATCAAATTGACACTGATATGCAGTTCTATATCCAACACTTGATCCGCAAGCTTGGATGTGAGCCTTACATTGGGCAGCGTGTAATACTTTCAGTTTCTCAAAGAATTTCCATGGTAGCAGAAAATTTGCTATTCTTGGATCCATTTGATGAGGCTTTTCCAAACATGCACGAGTGCCTGTTCATTATGTAAGTAATCTATAGTATGATTCACAATCATGATCATCAATTCCATCTCCGAACCTTATCATTTTTCCAAAACTATTCCATTGAAGACTGAAGCCTGTTAACTTGAGCTCATAGCACATTATTATGAGATACTAATCTGTGCATAATTTCTACTGGTTCTACTTATCTACTGTCTTACCATCATACCTTTCTTTGAGGATATGTGATCTCATTTTGAGTTGTGCTTTCATTACAATGGAAATGTCATATTAGTTCTTCCATAAGGAAATTAGATGCAAGCATGAGTTGGTTCTCTAGGAGTACCCTGGCTTTTTTTTTTTTTTTTTTAATTCATCTTATTATTATTTGAACATTTTGGTGGATGGCAGGATCCAGCTTATTGAGTTTTTGATATCAGACTACTTGTTAACTTGGTCGAGGGATGAAGACTTTGACTATGGTACCTATCTTCACTGGATTTTGTCTATGCTGATTAAGTTCTCATTGGTTTCTGTTGATTATACCTTGCTGTTGGTTTTTCACTCCAATTTCATGCTAGCTTTTTTACAACTAGTATTTCTATAAAGCTGGATCTGAAGTTAATACATTCTCGGGATGTTGTGATTTGAGAACATTGTTCGTATACTTCTCTTCTTTGGATCTAAGATCGCACTGTAGAAGCATGCATCAGAAACCATAAACATGACATCCGATAGTTGCATTGCAGTGCTGTTTGAAGAGTGGGTGACTTCAGTTCTTCATGCTCGTAAAGCAGTAGAACTTCTTGAAAGCAGAAATGGGCTTTATGTTTTGTACATGGATCGAGTCGCAGGTGAACTGGCTAAACACGTGGGCCAGGTTTCATCATTTCAGAAGCTCAACCAAGGTATTCTAGATAATCTATTCTGCTGACTAAAGCATGAATTCATGCAGCACCCAAATGCATGTATTTCCTGTCTAAAATACCAACGGAGACTAACTGTCTATGATGCCAGTGTTTTCTAAGGATCTTTCAAAGCACATGCTAAAGGAATATGTTCAACAACAAACGAGGGTTCCCTTTGCATATCTAAGATCCAAATAAAGCTTATTCTATTACTAGCATACGTTTGAAGCATTGTATTTGGGACGAGATAGATGGAAAGATTTGATGCAATTAAGAATCATCTTCCACTTTCGGTGCTTTATTAGTTAATTGACATTGATCACTGCTTTGTTGTCAATATTTTGAGTGGAAGTCTTAGGTAATCAAAGTATTTTACCTATGAATTCATTAGTCGGGGTATCCTGTAGAAATTTCGAAGCTAGGACTTGGGATATTGAGGTCATAGCTTAATTTCTCTCTGTCATTTTTCACTTCTGTTACTTTTGCTGATATGATTCTGTCTGCCTTTTCTGATCATGAAATCAGATGAAGTAAAATCTTGCTGTTTCCATTCCCTTTGCTTGCCGGAAAGATGTCTCTTACTTAAGGTTGTCTGTCCCTGCTTCTTTTGCCATTTGTATCAATTTGCTAGGCTGTTGTCGGTATCTTCCAACAGGTGTTCATGTGTAGGGGCACTTTACAAATCAGTAGAATTATTTTGTGCTAATCGGATACCATGATTGTGATGAAAGTCACACTGGGCCCGCCTCAACCACCAAAACTTCTTAAATACGTCCCTGCTTATTAATATCTGCTCCTTAATCATAGAGTTCGTGTTAGTTCATTGAACACAATTATCTTAGCTACTTAGCAGATATGACTCAAATAAGACTTGTATTCACTTTCCTACTCTTCAGCCTCCTCTTTCTGTCTCAATCACTTCCAAGTTCAGCTGCCAGGGGTCAATTCGATAAAGTTCTAACCAAGTCCCAGCTGCCTCAGGGAAGACAAAATGACCTGATCAGTTCATTTCAGACTCGGAAGTTAGGAGTTTACATCAGAAAAAGGGCTCGTTCTTATCCACGTACTGGTCGCAAATCATCTGCTATCGGAACCCAAATTTCTTCCAGCCATATGATTGGTTCCGTTCTTGCGTCCCTCAGTTTCTTCCTGTTCTAAGTCTTGGTTTGGTTAATTGTCCAATTTATTGGAGTTGATCGTTCCATATTCCTCCCAATGGGTGGCTGTATACCAATTAGTGCTTTGCCTTGTTAGAAAATGATGTCTTTTTTACGGTGAGATTGGGTTGCTTTTACTAATTTTTAAGGTGTTAATTTTCTTGAACCATACAGTCAATACATGTACTTTTACATCTGATATCCATGTGATCAGGGTTCCAGTGTAAAATAATGTGAAAATGTTGTTAATAAAATACTAGCCTATTTTTAACGTATCTGGTTTGGCGCACTGTCCAAGAAACGTTGGCTAATAACCTTTTTTTCTTTTTCAATTAGAATATACTATATTTTTTACCTGCATTACGTTGTTGGTAGGATAAAATATATAAAATTATTTAAAACAATCATTTTAATTTGAGTATGTGTTTTATAATGTGAATGTATAAAAATATATAAAATTAAAGATGAAAAAATATTTTAAATCTTTTAATGTAATTTGAAATTAAATGGATGAGATTTTTTTTAAAATGACAAATTAAAATAGTAAATTTTAAATAATAAAAATAATCAACAAAAAACACAAACAAAATGGGATCAAATTGCAATACCATTAAAGTTTGAAATTAAAAAAAAATTATATAAAAAAATTGAGAACCATATAATTTTAAATTAATTGGATGAGAAAAGAATGAATAATATTAAAATAAATAAAAACTATCATTAAATGTAATTTTAAATTAAGTGGATAAGAATTTGAAAAAAAAATGACAAATTAAAGTTATAGATTTAAAATAATAAAAATAATAAAACAAATTAAAACAAATGGGCTAAATCACAATAAAATTAATATATATATATATATAAGAGAGAGAGAGAGAGAGAGAGAGAGAGGGGGGAGAGAGATGCCTAGTTGGCTTGTGCAACTAGGTTGCACATAATTTTTTTTTAAAAAATTTAATTGAGGGAGGCTAGCGTGGTTGGCCTCGTGCGAGCAGAGCCGGTGTGCTTGGGCTTGCCATTGCAAGCTCGCGTGCCGAGCTTGGTCGCTCGAAAAAAAAAAACTCGCAACTTCCGACGAACCGGAGGTCCTTGGAAGTTCGTCGGAAAATCGAAGGTCACTTTCGGACTTCTAAAAATTGAATTTCGACATCATTTTTCCCCCAACACCTCTAAATGATCGAAATAAAGCCAATAAATACATCTAAAATCTTAAAAATCATTTTAATACACATAAAAACAAAGAAAAATACAAAATCGAATCGGATTTTTTTCTTTTTTTTGGCTCCGATCTATCTCCTCTAATTGTTTAATGGCTTGAAACCACAATGGACAAACTCATCTCTCAAAGATAAACAAATCTACTCGGATTTTCGCGAGCCATAGTGGCCTAAATAAGGTTAGCCGACAATCTCTCTCTCCTCCCGTCTCTCTCTTCCTCTTAGCTTTCTCTCTCCACTCAAGGATCAAAATGTACTTTAAAAAATATCAAGGACTAAAGCGTAAAAAAAGCCATGAATAGTGAAACGCACGGTAAAATGTGAGAGGGTGAATAAGAAATTGTGAGAGCCCGAAGAGTACTTCAAATAGTAACGCTATAGTAACCGATGATTTTTCTTTAGTTTTTTAGTAAACTTGCTGATTTACCGCACTACTCTACGGATTCAATTTTATAATTATAATTATTTGTTTAATTTTATTTTTTTTATGTTTTTCATAAATTTTTTACTTGTAAAAACATGAATTATTTTTTTAATGCATATATTCTGAAATAAAAATTTATAATAATTTAAATTTAAATATTAATCAAGGATTAAAACAATACTTTAAAAATAAATTTTTCATAAGAATGTATCTAAACAATTAATGTATAGACTTATATAAAAATTAATTAATAAAAAAATAAATTTTGACTCTTATTTAATGTTGATAAGATGATTATTTTTTGAAAATATATGTATTTGATCTATACATTTTTGTTTACAAAATAGTCATTATCGCTAGTATAAAAAGTTGTGTTTGAATAATTGGGTGATTTTTTTTAAAAATTATTTTAATTATTTTATTTCAAATAAATTGATTATACAATGTTTTTTTTTAAAAAATATTTATAACAAATAGTTGGTGTTACGTATGAAGATGTATAATTAAATTTTAATAAATCGATGATTTAATAGTTTTTTATACGTCTTAATCATACTTAATTGATTAAGATAAATTATTTGAAATATATATATAAATTTTGAGAATACATGATATATGTTATATCAATTTATTTTTTAAGAAAAGAGAAAACAAACTTTGTTTTAAAATTTTATTCTAAAATTCTAATATAGAAAAAAATAAATTATACTTATTACTAAATAAAATTTATTAAAAAAAAATCAATAGGATGAGGATTTCATAAAAAAATGACAAATTCAAAAAAAATAAAAATAAATTTTACATAATAAGAATAACATAATCTAAAATATAGACATAGTATTATATATATATATATATATATATATATATATATATATATTATCTTCGTCATGATGTGTGAAAAAAATAAAAAATAATGCTTAATATTTCATAAATTGTGCCTACAAATTCTTAATTAAAGTAATAAAGAAAATAAAAAAAAACCAAAAATTAAAGAAAAAAATACCCAAGGAGAAAGCACCAGGTCCGTGAAGGCCTGAAAAAAATGAGAAAGCACAACGCCTGTGAAGGTCTGAAAAAAAAAAAAAAAATCCTCTGCATTTTGAGCGACTAATTTCATCCGAAAAGTCACTAGAAAGTCGGATTTTATTATTTTCAGCTTTCCAAAATCAAATTCAACCTAACTTTTTTTTATTTAAAAACACCTCAAAAGCGCTGAAATAAGATTAAAAAAAACCCGTTTAAAACCTTAAAATCAATTTTAATTCATACAAAGCACAAAAATTCAAATCAAAATTAAAAAAATTTAAAATATTTTAAACTTTTAATCTATCTCTTGTTATCATTTCATAATTTGCTATCATTACAAACATATTTTATTATTCGAGATGAATAAAGTAATGAAAAAACCGATCTTGAGGATGGCCAGAATGGGTTTTGCCATGCGACTCTCTTTGCTTTCTTTCTTTTTTTTAGGATGTAGGAACCACAAAGATAAAAAAAATGAAGTTTTGGACCGAAAAAATATTGTTAAAAAAAAGGAAAGGAGCGAATTTTTTTGGACATTTTAGAGAGAATGGACAATAAAGTAAATAAATAGTAAAGAGAGAGAGCACACACTATTTGAACAGTAAATTTCCATTTGCTTTAGTTATTTTAGTTAATAGTTAATGGATATGAATGTCAGCATGGGTCCAGTATTGAAATATCTCTTTCTTGTTTTGGACGAATCTACTAATTTTGAGCTTGTAAGTCATCTTCTTTTTTTTTTTTTTTTTTTTTTTTTTTTCACTCTTAGCATCGAGTGTGACACGAAAACTTGAATAGCTAACAGGATAAGATCTGTCTAGCTGACCTGAGTATGATGAAAGTTATGCTTGTCTTTCTTATGCTGTTGTATGTTGCACGTGTCCAGCAAGTTGGGCATGCCTTGATGATGGATGGATTTGATGACTCTAGCTTCCCCATATGAATAATGTGATGCAAATATGATATCAAGTTGTCGACTGCAACAAAAAACTACTGTTCTACGAAGATGTTCAAAAAATTAAAAACTGTACTTGCCGACGTCGGAAAATTCAAGCGGCTAAATCTCAGATCGAAATGTTCCAATCAAATCTTTTCCCTTGTGGTGCCACGTTCTGAGATAGGTCAAGCGGTGAGGAAACAGAAATGACCTTTTTTTTTTTTTTTTTCCCTGAGAGAATTCCACAGCCTTCGGTGGCACGAGTTACGCCTAAAAAGTGACAGCAAACATTCCATATCGTTCGGTGGCACAACCTAGGCCCAAAGATTATCTAAGAGTCACGTTGGGTTAAGCTTTGAAAACCTTGAGAAATGTTATAATACACTCTTCTGTTTCCCTTTTTCTCTTTATTTTTTTTATCTATCTTTTTTTAAAAATAAATTTATGAAATAATTATCGTATACGCTATTAATTATTCATGATATATTATAAAATTTCTCGAAAAGCTTTCTCATTTAGGCTATTCGTTGGCAGAACTCGACGCATGATACTATTATGTATATTTTGATACAACGTGATAAGGCTAAATTATAAAATACCATCACTAAAAAATTTCTACTTTTATCTTTGAAACAATAGATTTTTTTGAATGCGCCTCTTCCATTATGATTATGTTGAGAAATTCATAAAAAGGAAAACATAAAAATCCTTCTAATTCCTTTTTTTTTTTTTTCTAATAGGAAAATATGTTTACTAATAGAAAAAAAGGGATTCCGAAGAGTTTTTCTATCGATTTCTCAAACAAACCCTAATAGAAGAGACAAATTTTAAAAATTATATTATTTAAAGGATTTTTTGGTTTAAAAATGTATTTATTTTTCCGCACAAGATCAAAAGTAATACATACATACATACATACATACATACATACATACATACATACATACATACATACATACATATATATATATATATATATATATATATATATATATATATATATATATATATATATATATATATATATATGTGTGTTAAAATCAACATTATTTGTTCTTTCAACCCATAATATATCGTGTTAAAAAAAAAAAAATCATAATATAATGAACCACAACTTAGGTGGTCTCTCTTCCTTTTTTTTTATTTTTATTTTTTAACATGGTAGATCTCTATCTTTCAGACGCGAAATTCTTATTTTATTTTATTGTCCTTTGCTTTACCTGCGTATTAGCTCGTAAAGGCAACATGAAGCAGCAAACAATTGAAGTTAATAGGAAAAAAAATTAAAAAGGAAAAACAAAAAGAAAGGAAGGTGGATTGATTTGTAAATTACAAGTGCTTCCATGTTGAATTTAGAGCTACGGGAGATGACAGTTGCCCTAATAGGTAGTTAT